GCTAACATACTTTGTTGGGCTTGTCCGCCTAATTGATACGTCTACGTATGAATTAAGTTTGGGTGTAACTGCTATCTCAAAAACAACTTCATCTCACCGGAATAAGTAAAACATAAATTTGGCTTGAGGTACTAATTACGTTTGTGAAAAAACAGTTTCTTAGTTATTAAACTCTGCACCCTCATCTATAATTTCTGATACTGTTTTACATTGTATCTTGTTGTAAAAACGTAAGTACTTTTATCTTGGCAAAAATAATGTATACTTATTTTAAACATTTGTATAGTTTGTGCATTTTTTTGTAATTTTAAATGCGATTTAAAAGAAATCAATATTAATTGTTTGCTATTGTGAAAGTCATATGCCTACTATTTGATTGTTGTGAAACTCGTTGTGTTTTCCATAGTCTGTAGCTTCGGCGACTTCTTTAAGCCGAAAAATAACACTTAAACCTCGTTGGGAACGCTTCAGCTGTGGCACATTTATGCAGATTTTGTTCGGTTTAGGCAGGCATATGAATGTATGTATGTACATATCTTATCTGGCTGCACCACCCACCCACATGGTGCTACACACCGTCCGCATAAGTTGTGTTACTTTATGGCCAGACTTGTGTCAATATAGTTATGAAGTGCTGCACAGAGAAAAACCACAGCCTGTTAAAAAATTTTACAAAAACTGTGCATACTAATATACAAAAAATAATTATTTACTTAATGCTAATATTCTGAATTAAACGTTATTCCAAGCAATGTATTTAATACCAATATAAAAATACTTTAAACTTCTAGAACTCACATTTGAACCAATTAATTAAACTAATTCATCAAGCCTTAAATTTACTGTTCGACAGTTTGTGCAGTACATTGATGTATTTTAATGTTAAAAACTATTTATTATTATTTTTATTTATTGTATATTTTCGGTGTACTCCGCCCGCCAGTGGAGCTGTAAGCGTGATCTGCAGCCGATTTAGAGATGGAAAATGCAATAATATAATACAGCCCAGCAATTGTGGGCACGCCACCCCGTTGCCACCCCGCTGGTCTGAAAACCAGTTGGGGAACTCACGTAAGAACCGACCGACATCGACCCACGTCAAAAAAGGGACATGGCCAACATAAATGCAATTGGAGAGACACGCCGGTCGTTGGGGATCCTATAGGATGTGGGCTAGGGGATGGGCATGGGGATGGGGACAGGGATATGTGCCGTCTGTCACTCCTGACTGAATGGATGCGCGTCGAGTGCGCCGAACTCATGACAACCTGCAATCAAGCGCCAGCAGGCACATCTAAAAAGGATTGGGATTGGACCAGGGCATCAGTACACATAAAACAATGTTAACAAAGCTGAAGTTTAAATTTAAAGAATCAACTTCAATTTATTGCGTTCTTTTACCCACTTGAAATTGAGCAAAATAATTATAATAATACTTTATTCATATAAAAAAGCAAAACAAAATGGTTTAATAACAAACTAATACACTTTTACTTATATTATTTTAATCTCTCTATGTTTTTTCTATGTGATACATATAATAAATAAATAAATACAATACAAAAAAATATAAGTAGCTCACCAGTTCTTTCATATACTCACATGAATCCTCATTTTATTTAATTGTCTTTTTCTGGGCAACAGTTGAATGCAACCAATCGCGTAGGCAACTGGCAACAAGCAACTGGCAACATGCAACATGCAACAGACAACGGGCAACTCTCAACAATACGACATTTGCACGGGCTTTAACTTAAATTATGCGCCAAACAAATAAGGTCTCGCCCAGTCTCCACTTCGGAGCCAGTCCCATAATGATGCCATGAGGCCATCGGCAAGTTGTTAATGTTTCTGCACTCAAAAAAAAAGTTAAATTATAAATAGAACCAAAAAATCGTTTTTACTTCCCATTTATGTCACAATCCTGACCATTTTGAACTAAAAATTAAAATATGCAACAGCTATGTCTATTTTAGTTTATTTTAATAGTATTTTTTGTTTGATTTTTTCTGAGTGTGCGACAGTGGTTGTGATGTCGCCAGTTGCACAAAGTCATGGCCACAGTTGTCGGTTTTTTTCAGCAGCGATGGGGTTCCCGAGCGGATGGTGAAAAAAGAAACAATGTCAGCAACCACAAGAAACAATTAAGTTGGCTCGACACAATGAGGAAAGCTACGATCAACAAGACAGTTGGATCAGCGTGTTTATGTGCTGCTGCCTGAATTGGGATTCAGGGGAGCCACGGCATCATAATTGCAGCCCCAGTTGTAGTTTTCCTATGAAGAACATTTTTATGGGTGACCAGTTCGAAACTATGCGAAAACTATGTTCAAATTTGAAATCACATTTAAATAAATATAATTTTAATTTTGAGTTGATATTTTTAAATGCCCATTTATAGGTTTTTTTTAACTAAACTTCGAAAGCATCTCTACGTTTTTATAAATTATATATTCGAACCACATTTTTAATAAATGATTATTTTTTATGCGATAACGTTAGCAAAATTTTTTCAAGATTTAAAATATCCCCCACCTCGTTTAGATGCCTAATTTGTTACTTACTAATATTGATTATTTTTAAATTAATTTGGCATAGGTTATCTGTTAAGTAGAGTTTGGTTGTTTTTATATTTTAAAGAAACAGAAAAATTTATTATATTACACATTTATTAAGGACTTGGTTTAGAGAGTATTTAGTTGGGTGCTTAAAGCTTTCAATATGGTCCTGATAATGTTTCGTATCTGGAACATCTAACAGTGGGAAGCCGGTGAAACCTCCCGATCCAACAGCTGCTGCGGCACGAGCCAAGCGTCATTAAAAAACTTCTGGATGGCAGAGGGCAGCTTTTTCGATTAAGTGACAGGTTAAATGCTAAACCATAAGTTTCGGCCACAAGCAGCTGGCAATCACCGAGCACGAGCCACAAAATTTTGCAGCCGGTCAAAAGCAGGAGCCAGGAGTCAGCACAGAGAAAAATAAATACAAAATTCGTTATGGGTTATGGATTTTCCCAAGAATAGAGCACCCACTTAACGCTTTTTTTTGGGATTACATTTTACAATACACGAAAACAAGGTTCATCCTTGGTGGTGTGTTCAACAAATAAACACAAAACAAATGGGTTATAGACTTTTTTTAAAAAGATTCTATTTTGGAGCTTTTTTTTAAACCACGCAGTTTAAATTACAGTATTATATGAAATTTAAGAAAATATAAAACTTCTTAGTTCTAATAAACAAAGCAGCGAACTAGTTTTTTCCTAAAAACTTTTTGTAAAAGTAAAATCTATAAATGTCCAAGGAAAACTATATCAAAACGAATGTATGGGTGAGTAAAGAAAACTCTTATTAAATTGTTTATTTAACTAAAAATTTGAAAAGGGAATTGAGATAGCCATAACGTCAATGGAAAAACATCAAACTATTGACCGATTTTGGTGTTATTTTTCTCCGTGTGAGGAATGGAAGAGTCGGAAGACAGGAGAGTCAATGGAAACCGGTTGAAAAGCTCCCACAGGCACCTTCTGTCCGATGCGACGACGTGCGTCGGCCAACCATTAGTCGCAATCTTTGGGCAATTGTCGCTGATTGTCGTCGTCCGCTCTGCCTTGGGCTCGTTCCCATATGCAGATGCAGATACAGATGCAGATGCTGTTTGCAGTTGCAGATGCAGATACATTTGCAGTGGCAAATGCCGGCTGACCTAGCTTGATTAGCTAAAAGTGCGTGCGAACTCCACTTAGGAAAGCATCTGGAGCAATTGTAACCACCATCAATTCATTCAAATTAACTTATCTCCAATGCTTAAGGGTTGTATCTAACAAATAACACTGAAATAAGAAATTAACAGGAACTATAACAGCATTTCATTACTGATGTTACAAAAAAGAAATGAAGTAAACTTCGGAAACCCCTAAGCTTTAATATCCTTGCAGCTATACAAAAAATGTAATATACAAATTTATTTATCAATATATATGCGTATATGTTTATTAACAATGACGTTATGTCGATTTCCCAGTACATTTTTCAATCGTTGTTATCGCAGCTTTAAGATATATTCGTTTGATTTTCCTGAATTAAACCCTATTCCTGAAATTGAACAAAATTATTATTACTAAAGACTAGTTTTAAATGAGACTAGTAAAATCGGACTGACAGACGGACATGGCTATATAAATAGATATATACTATCGGCAATATTTTTTTCACTGCGTTGCAAACTTTTAAGTTAAATTATAATACACTCTGCAAGCATATACAAATCATTTCATAAATTAATTTAAAATATTAAAAAAAAGGGATATGTAAAAATCAAGTTAAAAACAAGAGAGAACGCTATAGTCGGGTGCCCCGACTATCAGATACCCGTTACTCAGCTAAAGGGAGTGCGAGGGAGATGGAGATAGAAACTTTGATCACGCATAACTTTTTAACGAATGGTCCGATTTGATAAATTTCTTCTACATTTCGATAGGTATTGATAAACACAATAAAACTGCATTTTTACTTTTCCGAAATATTAAAATTTTTAAAATCGTATATAAGCGATTGTGGGCGTTAAAGGGGGCGTGGCACCATTTTGAAACAAACTTGCGCTGCGTAGGAACTTCTAAAATCTACATGCAAAATGCCAATCTTCTAGCTTTTATAGTTTCCGAGATCTCAGCGTTCATACGGACAGACAGACAGACAGACAGACAGACGGACAGACAGACGGACAGACAGACGGACATGGCTAAATCGACTCGGCTAGTGATCCTGATCAAGAATATATATACTTTATAGGGTCGGAAACGCTTCCTTCTACCTGTTACATACTTTTGCACGAATACAATATACCCTTTTACTCTACGAGTAACGGGTATAATTATTTTGTTTAACAATTAAAACTTCCCGCCAACTGCTACCAGGGCTGCCACTTATCGGTTGCCTATCGATTTTCTGATTTTTTCAGTATATTAAAAGAATTGGATGGTATATTTCCGCTGCCAAGCTGCGGTCACACTGACGAAAACAAACGCGACGATATTACAAAATTATAATTTTAAGCAAATATAATAATAAACCAAGAATAATCGACATCACCAACGAGAGGACAGCGAGGAGCACATCGCAATGCCGTCGAGAAGAGGTGCAAGTACCGCCAAGGCCAATGAGGACGCCCTGAATGCCCGCAATACGGTCAGCGGGCCGAGGAGCAAGCGAATCGCCCTGAACAGCCGAAATCGGAGTCTCGGTGGAGAAAAGAAGACAATGGTCGCCCAACCGCAGCGAACGTTCCCGCCAAAATCCGAGTACGAGAAGTTCTACGAGTCCGTGTTCCTGGCGGAGGAATCCCAGACGGAAGAAGTGAGTTTCTAGCACTATTTTAAAATGTGATTGTTTAAACAGTTGCATATCTCCAAGGCACACGGTTTATTTTTCTAGGGCAAGTGCTTTGTTTTCCCTTGCCGAGACATATTTTTATACCCTCGCAGAGTGTATTTGATAATACTTTAATACTATGGAATTACGGTTTTAATTAAATTAAAACCAATTAGCTCCCATAGGAAAATCAAAAAATTAAAAAAAAAGAAAACATGAAACAAATTTTTTAATTTGCTTCCTTGTTATTAATATGTTTGTAACTCAGGCGCAAATGTTTTTCCCTTATGTATGGTATTATCAAGTACGAAAATCCCATAACAGAAATGAAAAGATTACAAAATTTGCTTTACTAGAGATAAGCCCGTGTAACTCAAAAAATATTCACGTTTCTTACGGTTTTTGTAAGAGCATTCAAGTATTATTTAAATCGGGCGACTAATATCTTGAAAGTGCCTCAGAACTTACTTATTCAAGTTTGCATCTTTTTTGTGACTTACGTTTTAAAATGCTTTTATATCTACCTAAAGACCTATTTTCCTTTACCGAAATATTGTCACATATTGTAACCAAAAAGTTGATTATAATCCGCGTTTAAAACAAATCCATTCATTTGAGGGAAAATTTGTTTGTATTAAATCGTTTCCATTCCACAATCAAAGCAGTCTGTGAAAAATACTTTATGAAGTAGTCGATTTCCAATTCCATGATTTCGCAACGGTCCAAATCCCAGCGCGAATGCTCAAATTATTTTCTTATGAAGCTCTTGGGTAATATACATATGTGAAAAAATGAGTATGAAAATATGTGCCAATAAAATCATTTTTCAAATTACATTTTTAGTTAAAGAGAGCACTTGAAACGAAATTATTTATTTCAGGAAGAGCCCCTAGATTGCCCAAAGCCAGGTCCGCGCTCTAAGCGACCACTGCATATCCTACTAAACGATGATGATTCTCAGTCGGAAACTTCGCGGCCCGCTAAGATTTCCACCATGAAAAAAATCGCTGAGCCAGTGGATCGAGTAAACGGCATCTCCCCAAAGCCGAAAACCAAAATCCGTCAAGATAAATTTGAGGATTACTACACCAAAACGGAACGTCACGTCTGGAAAAAGGATGCCGAGCAAATGTTACTCCAATTGTGGGCGCAAAACTTAAAGGAGTTCCGCGGCGAATCGAAGAATGTCCTTACCTACCGGAAGATGGCTGAGCAGATGTCCCAGTTTGGGCCGAGCCATACGGAGCTCAAAACGAAAATGGACAATATGTCTCGAAAATATCGGTAAGTTCTTCCTAACTGCATTGATGAATTCAAATAAATTTATTTTTAGAAAACAAAGTTATCCTGAAGTTGTAAATATAATTCCTTATAGATAAAAATGAAATAATATGGAACAATACTTTTTTGATTTTGAGTTAGAAATCCTTTCTGTAAAATAATAAATATGACTTAAAAACTACGTTTATAATAATAATCAATTTTAAATTGTATAATAATATTAATATTTTGTAATTCCACTTGCATCCACAGTATAGAAGCTGAGAGAGTCCGGGAAAGCGGAATTCCATCTAAGTGGGAATACTTCCACAAGCTTCAAGCACTCCTAATTGGCACCAAAGCCGTTGATGTGTTTGAAGACATTATGCATGATAATCCAGGTATACACACAGGTCTACAGAAAATTAAATCAAATCTCAAACCTATATTTTTACTTACAGCTGAGGCCTTAAATTTCGAGCAGGATGCGGAATCTGAGGATGAAGAAATGGATTTAATGAAAGATGAATCAGTGGGAGTGGATCGTAAAAATGGATTTGAAAATGAATTGTGTGCGAAGAAAAGCATCAAAAGAACGCTGACTCCCTCTCCAACTATCCCAGACATCCTGGAAGAAGAGGAGGAAGATCAGATGGAAGAAAGATCACCCTTGCCCATCCCGAAATATCGTACTAAAAGGAAGATGCCGATTAGCCATGCAAACAGAATCCTTCAAATAGAAGAGGAGAAACTGTTGATCGAGCGAGAAAAGCTGCAGGTTATGAAGGAAGCGCTTCTGGAGCTAAATTCATTCCACAAAGATATAGTTCATTTGTGTAAGCACAAAAATCATTAAAATAAATATTAAGTTTTATAATCGGAAATTAGTTTGGTACAATTTAATGACGTTATAAAGATACTGAATATTCTTTGCAATTTGTTTGAAAACTGTGGAAATATTAATTTGGTTAATTTTAAAACGATCTGAAATAATTTGAATTATTTTTCTTTAAGACTTGCAGCTTAAGCTGCATATATTTTATGTAATATTTATAATTACCAATAAAAGATGTTTAATTATGCTTAAAAGTCGAATTGATACTTTAAAATGACTACATTGGAGAGACTTTAATTTCGTTTTAATTTTCAAATATCAATTAAAAAATCTCAAATAATAATAGTAACACAAACATCTTTTTTTTAACATTCAGCGATTTTTCTGATATATTTCGCACTTCTTTATTAAATATTATATTTGTCAAAAATTTCAATGGTATTGATAATATCAAACATAACTTAATAAACTATTGAAAAAAGGAGCATTACTTATGATAATCTAAAATTTATATAAAATAATGGTATTACCGTTATTTATTATTTGTTTTTAATTATTATACAAAATGTGAAAGACAAATTTATTATTTTATACGTTAATCGAGATTATAAATTTATCGCCGGTACCTAAAGCGCTGTTGCGGTCAAAAAGGGAAACTCCGACGTAGATACACAATTTGCCATGTAGAATATTGGTTGGAAACTCAAATACATTTATTTATTTATTAACCTCGATAAATTGGTTCGCTCCGAACTGGTTCCTTTCTCGAAACATCGATAGGCAGCGTTAATAATAACAAATTGTTTTTAAGAGAAACAGTAAAAAAATGATTGAGGCGCGCACGCTGCAGTACGAGTCTAAATTCCAGGAGTCAGTCCGGGAGATCTCGGTGAAGGTGCTCCGCGGCGAGTACCGGCTGCTGCGGCGGAAAGAGGGGAGCTCCGTGTGGAAGGTTTACCGGGAAATAGTCCGCTCTGACGGGGCCATTATCAATGGACTCTATTTCTGCACAGGCTGCAAGCGCGTGATGCGAACCTTCAACACCTCGAATCTACGCATCCACAAATGCCACGTGGAGTATCTGACTCAGAGCCATAATCCAGCCACCGGGATCTCCGGTTTGGAGTCTTCAACGCAAGAGGTATGCATGTGCCTGGGCCATTTTCCTGCCGGATAAACTCAATCCCAAATATACCTTTCAGAATACCACCCTTCCGGGGGAGCGGCGTCGGAACGGGAACTATCCACAACCTGCGGAGTGGTCCTTTCACGCAACCGAACTTCTCCTTCAGCTTTGGGCAGAAAATGTCGTTGATCTGCGGGATTCTAAAAAGCGAGTCAGGGTTATCTGGAAAATAACTGGGGAAATGAAGACACTGGGGTTCACTTTCACCGAAATTAAAAACAAATTGGAAGATGTGGCCCAACAATATCGGTAAGAAACACAAAATTATATGACTTTCATACAAAAACTTAATTTTTACCAATATATATAATTATTACAATTATTACTACTACATATTGATTAGTCTTTAATCGATTTTTTTGCTCAAAGCCTTTTTTTACTTTTGGACTATCATTTTAAGTTCTATTAGAGTTTGGATCTGTTTTATATTATTTAAAAACCATATTGGAGTCTACATTTTTTATAAAAATACGTCACTTTTTTTAAGGCGAGAAGCCCACATGGAAAAAACGACCGGAGAACCATCCAAGTGGGAATTTTTCGAGACCATCAAGGGAATAATTGATGCCGATAAGCCCGTGGAAAATAAGCCAAAAAGATCGGAAATTTCTGGAAATCGGTCCACAGGGATTAGCGAACATAATAAATATTCAAGTCAACATAGTGATTCTATGAAAGATACGAAAATAATAAATAGGCACAAGAGATCGGATAGCTCTGGAAATGAAACCATCCGGATTGGCGACCATAACAAATATTTCAATCAGCATTATGACTCGTTACAAGATAAAAAATACGTAAAGAAGCTAAACGATGACCCAACGGAACAGGATGACGATTACTTAAGCGAAGACCTGGAACAATCACAGGAAGACGTGGATGAACTGCGCATATTAAAGGACAACATTATAAGGGAAATTGAAGAATCCTCTACTACACATTCCCAGGAGAACTACGAAGAAGAGCTCGATCAACAGAATTCCACGATCGAAGAAATGAAAAGAGCCAAACGCATAAGATCTGCTCGAATGATGGAAATAGAAGAGGAAAAACTGGTCATAGAGAGGAAAAAAGTTAAATTGATGAAGTATTTTGCGCAAGAGTTGTCGTCATTTCATAAAAGCTTGTATGAACTACTTGTTGATTCCAAAGAAGACTCAAATTCATGAGTACTTCTGAGGAATTAGAGTGATCTGCCTCACAATATGTTTCTTAATGTCTTTGAATATGTTTAACTAATCATAATATAATTTATTAGTTATTTTCAAAAAAGTTTCTCCACAATTTCAAAAAACAATTGAAAGCCATTAAATTTGCCAGAAATTGATAAATTTTTTGACCTAATCAAGAATTTTGTATCTTAGCAATCCCTTCATGTATTAGTTTAAGACTAATTTGATTTCTGCATATAAAATACCTCAGATTTAGCGGGCTTGATTTTTTGTATTTATTTTATATTAATTGATTTAATGAAAAAATTGTATTCCTGAATAGTTAGTTGGTTTAATTAATAGCGTGATTACTTTTTTTGGCAATATTTATTTTTGGCTATTTCAAAATTTAATTTCAAAATTTCGATAGTTTTCTATTTGTGGGCTGCCGTTTTCGATCAAATCGATTGGTCCGCCAGTGATGCCACCTTGTATTTCGCTCCGGCTGTTGTTTTTGCTATGACCATCAGGATAGTGAGGCTCAGACGAAATATGTTTATAATAAACGCTCCCGAGGAGGAGGAGAAATGCACGGAGGCGCAGCTGGACATCCTGCTCAAGATCAACACTGGCGAGTACCGACTTGTGAAGAAGAACAAGCGCAGCTCTGTGTGGAACGTCTACCGGGAAATAGCGCGACCCGATGGAACCAAGCTGAAATGGAGGTACTACTGCATCGGGTGCAAACGAGTAATGCAGTCTACAGGAGGAACAACCTCAAACCTACGCATCCACAAGTGCCACGTGCGGTTCCTCAAACATAATTCCGATCTCACCGATGGGAGTCTCACCCACAACCACGCGCCCGCGGCCACCGGCGCTCCTCAGGCGCCGCGTATCCAGAAATCAACAACCAAGCGACATCCATCCTATGCGACCAAATGCGAGCAGTTCTACGAGGTCACCAATGATCCACTCAGCGACTTGGAGGACGAAATGGAGACCCATTTGGATGAGGAGGGCGTTGTGGAGCAAATCGTAAGTGGAAAATATTTGCTTATTTATTATCTAGTGCCCTATTTGGGTAATGATTATGGGTGTTAAGTACATCACAATAGTCATTTTATTTTGTAGGGTGGTATGTAAACAAGCATCAAAACACACATTGTGTTTTAAGGAATTCAAAAAAGGAAATCCGTTTTGTTAAATTTGTTTTATTCCCCTTAAACATATTTCCAAATCGATCTGATCAATATTTCCAGAGACATATTATTTAGAATTTGAGCCCTTAGGTTATTCAGCTAGTCTGGGGATATTTTTTACTTGCATTCAAAATTTCTATAGCTTAATTAATTAATTAATTAATAGATTAATAAAATAAAACAATTTTGAAATGTACCTATTTAGATTTGTTATTGTCAATATTTTACCCTACACAAATACTAATTGTTAACTATGGACAACATTTTTCCGATAAACTTTCAAGTATATTTAAATAGGCTACGAATTAATTTTTACGGGATACTTAAAAAATAAATTTTTTTCAATATATGTTAATCAAAAATTGTACTGCTATCGTTTTCTATTTTAAAAAAATAATAAAACATAATCAACTTTAACCTACAGTCGGAATCGGAGCGTGATCTGGAAACCTGCAATTCGCGACCCTTGCTCAAGTTGTTTTCCGAGGAGAACTTGTCGCCTGAAGCAGAGCTCGAAGAAGAGGGTGAAACGGCGGAGATGGAAGAGCAGGTGCCCATCGAGCTGGACCTTACGGACGTTCAGCACCCTGTGTCAGACTTTCAAAATGAGACAATCCAGCCCAAGTCAGAGGAAAGCGGCGTCCAGTTCGACGCCAGTGCCCTGTCAGAAGCGGAATCCTATGCCAAAGCCTGGGCTCACGCTTTTTTGCGGTTGAGCGAGGACCAAAAATTGTATGCCAAGCGCTCAATTGATGAGCTTCTCGTCCTAGGTCGGCTAGAGCGGCTCAACATTTCCACCGTCACATCCTTATCCCCAAACCTGTAGCATCTATCCGTTTTTACATAATTTATCCTAGCCTTAGAAAAATACTTTATAATGCATATTAAATTTTCTCAAAAAACTTTAACTGCGTTTTAGTAGGCTTCCTAAACGGTACATACTTTTAAAAATCAAGCAATTTGCATTGATTTGCCTTTATAATTTAAAAAATTGAATTAATAAGGTTCTTGGATAATTATTTTCCCTCCAAAAACTTACCTTCGTAATCTTATTTTAAAAAACCAATAACTATGCCAACGTGTTTTTCAATTTTTTTATTTTTTCCAATACGTTTTTAAAGTTTTTTTTTACTTTTCTTTTGTTGCCAGCTTGCTTTTGTTTTATATTTTTGCTTTGCTTCTTTTACAGTTTTTTTTGTTGCTGTTTGCTGTGAATTACATGATTTCTCTCTCACTTGTTTGTTTGCTCTGCTTTGCTTTTATTTTCGATACATTAAATGGGGCCTTGCTTCAGCCTGATTCTTGTATTTCTCGATTTAAGATGATGTAAAAATGGAACAAGATTGTGTGTGGATATAAATTTTTAATGATAATCTTCAATACGAGAAACTTAGAGTTAAAGGTTCGCTTAACGCACAACGTAACAACGTTCGAGAAGGGTTTCAAGAATAAATAAAATTTTAAATAATAATTAAGTTAAAGGGTATACAGGCGCTGCTGTCTAAATTGCTTGGCATAATTGAATTTATTTTTGTTGCTGTGGTTCATATAAAACAATTCGACATTTATGCAATTTTTAACGGCCAGGCATGATAGAAATTTGTTTTTTGAATTTGATAGAAATTTTCATGTTGCTTTTGTATTGATGTTGTATTAGTTTTACAGTTCATTCTTCTGTCACTTGCCCTACGAAACAAAACAAAAAGCAAACAAACCGAAAAAAACGCGGCGGCTCAATTAGCAAAGTGCTGCATTATTTGCTGGTGTTGTTGCTCCAATTTGCAGTGATTGCTGATGTTGATGTTGCTGCTTCTGCGATTGTTGTTATATGCTGCTGCTACTGCTAATGTTTTCGACGGTCCTGTTTATGCAGTGCTCTCTGTGGTTGTATTTTGCAGCTCTTGAGCGCCGTTCTAAGGATTTTGTGTGGGAAAAGCGAGGGGTAGAAATCATAACGATAAGTAAACTTAAAAGTTCAAATGTTAAAAGTAAAATGCAGTTTTCGGTTTTACAGTAAATGTGTGTGTGTTTGTTAGCCAATTAGTTACAGGTAAAGAATGTTAGACCCAAAAGCCTCTAAGTTAAGTGTTAAGGTTCCTCCTCTTTTTCGCAGTTTCTCTGGGTATTATGTGGGTGCGAGTGGCTGTTGTTGTTAGTAGTTAATTACGAATGCATCTGCAATGCACTTTAGTTAGTTTTTCAAGTGACCGCCACCATGTTATTGTTGTAGACTTTTGGTTGCCGCTGGTTGTTGCCGATGTTTACTAGTTAGATGTTGTTATCGTAGTTTTGCTTTGGCGAAGATGTTTCAGTTGTTTTTGTTCTGGTGATTAGTTCATTACCTGCTGTGGCTGCTGCTCCAAACCACCGCCGGGACCATTCGGTTTCCGATTCTGGCGACGTGGACGTGGCTGTTGAGGGCGTGGCGGTCCCTGACCTTGAACTGTAATGATAAATAATATATTAAACAGGGATCAAGTAGATGTGGGTTCAGTAGTGGGTTATTCATGCTTCATTACTCAGAAAAAGTAGGTTTTTGCGTTTTGATAAAACAATACTCATATTTTCTCAGTATCATGTAAGTTTAAATGATTTAACAGACCTAATTGATATGACAATATAGCATAATTAACATGAAATAGTCAATTTATGTTCTTGAAAAATTGTGTTCCTGAACAATTTAACTTCATGTTCGCCCTTTCTGACAGATTATTCGATCTTTTTATTATTGCCTTTAAATTACGTTTTAAATTTATTTATTATAATTGCAAAAAAAAATATCGAACAAATTACTTCCTAATATTTTGCCACACATTTTCGATCTTACCTATGGCATCTTTATGAGATAGACGTCTGATTTTATGAAAGTATATATAGTCATATCGGAATTTAAAAAAACTTTATAAAGCAAAAAAAAATTCTAAGTTGTTGGAGTATTTTTCTAGTTGTTACTTGAAGAGCGACTATATTATAACTCGTCTGATCCGAACATAATCTTAAGAGAATTCTTAAAATAAAAATATGGGTCTCAAAATAATTTTTAATAATCTTAAAACTGTGTTTGTTTGGAGTCATTTTTTGAGTAAGGTTTTTATAATTAACGCAATTAAATGCATTCCCTGATAGACAATACTCACTGTATTCCCCGCCATCGCGGCGTGGTGGTGGTGGTCCGTTGTTGTAGTTGCGTCGGAAGAAGCGCCTCTGAGGTCCTCCAGGTGGGCCGCCACCGCGACGCGGTCCCTGTCCCTCTCCCCGTTGCAGGCCCTCGGGATTTTGATCGTGGACGCCGGGCTCGGCGCTGCCATCACCACCGCCTAGACCGCGACGTGGCTGACGCGGATAGTAGTTGTTGTAGCGCCGGGGGCCACCAGGAGGTCCGCCGGGGCCACCTCGAGGGCCTCCACGGGGTCCGCCGGGCGGTCCACCGGGTGGTCCGCGGCGGAAGTTCTGGCGGGGCTGACGCGGGCCGGACTGCAGCTGCTGCGGCTGCCCGTCAACGGACGGTGGCGCCTGCTGCTGCTGCTGAGCCGGAGACTCCAACTCATCGCCTTCGATTTCGCCATCCTTGCGGCGGTTCTTCTTCATCCAGGGACGGAAGTTACGGCGCTTGTCTGCCGCAAACTGACTGCCTCGCACCGGCTCGCCGGACGGGCCCGTCACGTTGGCCGCCTCGTTTCCCTTTTCGCCAATGACCACGTCGAACTCAACGACCTCACCGTCGCCCACCGAGCGGACCGCCTTCTTGGGGTTGTTCCGGGCAATGGCGCTCTGGTGTACGAAGACATCCTCTTTGGTGTCGTTACGGTTGATGAAGCCGTAGCCGCTCTTCACGTTGAACCACTTGACGGTGCCGGTGACTTTGGTGGCTGCAATGGTAAATAATGGTTACTCACTGCTTCGAAAGATCGTTGGTAATAAAACAAACAAACCGATTGATATACATATATACAATTAATTACTACAAATCCAACTTATTAAAGTCTTGTAAGAAAAAAAAAACACAACCAAATGGAACTAACCTAAAAATCGTTTTTGTAACTCATTGGACACAAGCAATTTTGAAAGAATAATGCCTTGGAATCGGGTTGTTCCATACGGTTTCTTGATTCTATTTCATATCACTTGAACCGTTTTAGTTGGCATATAATTAGTTTAAATTATGAAAAACTCCAGATGTATAGGTTTTAAAGAACTACGCAAAATAATTGTACCAGAAATAATCTAATACGTAGTTTTTAAACTCAATCAAGCGACACGCTTCATTCAAATTAGACCTTGAATGAATTTTATTACCTAAAACTTCGGGGGAACAACAGATATTAATTCGTTTAGAAAAACCGATCAATTTGGAGGCCAAAAAGGTGTTAGGACTATGAAAAATAGGCAGTATATTGAAGCGTTTAAAAATATATTACTACCACAGAATTCTGGGCAATAACAGCCGATTATTATTTAGGAGAATATTGGTAAAACCCTTAGATCATATCAATGTTGGTTGCATTATGATCTCGTGTTTTGGAATCGCCTTAAGGCCAGGTGTGTGCATGTGTGTTGCGGTGTGTACAAATAGATGTACCAAAACAATGGACACACACACCCGACCCGGCTGTCGGCTATCTCGCTCGCACTCCTGCTGCGCGCGCATTAACAAATTGGGTTGCCCTGGCTGCCTGTGTGTGTGGGTGTACGTCTATGAGGGGGATTTTCGGGGGGAAGGGGGTTACAAACGCCGGGGGGTGAAGATGGGTGGGTGGTGTATAGACAGACGACCGGCAAAAGGCAGAATTTTCAATTTGGTTAGCCGGCGGCGTACATATGTACATACATATATACACGCTGCCTTTTAACCGCACAAAATGGCCGACGCGCGTATATTTTAAGACCCAAACACACACGCACACACACAAGCGCAGGGAGGCATGTTTCTTGGTTTCTTTTTTCTCTCCTTATTTTTCTCGTAGCTATTTTGGTAGCAGCCATGTGTTTGCGATATGAATGAAATGGGTTGGATTTTGGGATTTCCTCTTAGTTTCTCCTTACCAATGACTTCCTTGGGCGGCGGAGCGGGCTTGCCCTGCTGTCCCTGCAGCTGCTGCTCGTCCTGCGGCTCCTGCTCGAGGTCCTGCTCCTGCAGATTCTGCTGCTCCTGCTGATTTTGCTGCTGTTCAGCGGCCAGTGGCTTATTCTCTGCATCGGCCATCGTTTATCTTTTGGATGTTATGTTAAACGAAAAGCGGGAAAATGAGCGAGGTTGTTGTTGTTGCTGCTGCTGTTGTTGTTGGTGTCCGTTTTCCCTGCTGTTTTTCGGGGTGTCTGGCACTCTCTCAACTGCCACTAACCACTTTGGATGTTGTTTGTGAGTGTGATCTTAAAACACTCGCCACTCGCAGGGTTTTCTTTGCCTTAGCGATTATATTTTGTTCGCAAGCTCCGGAAGTGAAACATGACAGCCGGAGACAGGGTTGCTTGCAGAAGACCCATCGATAGCGGCTATCGATATGGTCTGTCACTAACGTGCTGTTGGGCGCAGGCATTAGCTCATAACAGCATTGTTAAACCGACGTTAAATTTAAATGCATTACAAATTTGATTGTTTTTCTGTATCGATTTGAATATATTGGAACGACTTTCTACAGTTAATTTAAACATTGCCCTTAAAAACAGAGGTACTTTAAAGTTATAAATCTATAAACTTCAAAATCAATAATTGGGTATTAGGACTAGATAACCTTTAATCAAATGAAAACGAGTGTTATACAACATTTGAAGATAGTTTACGGGCCATTTTCTTGACCTCGTCATTACCTAAGAGTAGATTTTAAACTAAGTAAACGTGTGCAATAAATTAAATTTAAAATGTAAATAAAATTTTTTTTTTTAATTTTCAGCAATAAAAAATTTGCGATTTTCTCCGCACGGACTTAGAGGTTTTTCAACGAATTTCTGGATTCAGCTAAAATTCTTGGGCTCCGTATCCTCCAAAAGTGATGGACCTGCTCCAGGGCGAATCCCAGGCAGCTCAGTCCAATGCCCACTGACCAGAGATAAAAGGCGCCCTGCAGAATGTCCAGGGTGAGGACAACCCGCTTATTGCGTCGCACTGCCGCCTCGTTGGTGACCGGATCCGTGTCCGTCTGATCTCCCAGATCCTCGTAGAACTCCTCGGCATTCGGCGAGGTTCCATCCCGGGTGATCAAATCCATTTGACGCCAGTGCTCGAAGAATCCGTGCTCGTGGAAGCCGGTGAAAAGCGATTCGAAGCGATGCAGGAAGGGCGATCCTCTGGGCAGGATGTAGGTGCAGATCATGGAGCGCAGGTACTCCTTGACGATGTGGTATGAGGGTCGCTCCGTCTGGGAATTGTAGGTGAGGGCCAGGAAGTCTCGGGCGTGGAAATCGCGCATAATGAAGGCCGCTCGCCGATCTCGACGGCTCACCATCAGTTGGTAATAGGATGTAGTCAGACCCAATGGCAACTGGCGACTACGATTCTCCAGCAGGCGATATTGGTGTTCCGACAGGGCAGGCTTCACTGCCTCATACATGGTGGTCACCGCGAAGACGTGCACATCCAGATGGGCGAGTGCATCCACCTGGTCGACCTGCGCCTCATAACTCGGTCGCACGAATGCGGACTCCAGCTTGGCAAAGTAAATGGTGGTCAGAACGTAGCTGAAGAGGACCCAGCCCATGAGGAAGGTGCGCATGGAGCTAAACGACGAGAGTCGTCCTGCCGGCTCGCCCACGTGCGTTTTTGCGAACATTTCAAGAATCTCATACCAGGTGGCCTGAAACTGGTTAACTTGTCGCCGGGGAATCCCCTTCTGAAGTCTTTGCATTAGCCAGAAGAGAAGCACCACCACCAAAAGGGTGACCAGCAGCAGGTGCCACACGGATCGCCGAAAGACGCGCACGAAGATCAGGTACTCCGGTTGAACTTCGGAGGCGGGAACCACCAAGTAGAGTGTGCGACGTTTGTGCGGATACAGCACCTCCACCTCCGGCCAGATGCAGTCGAGCACGAAGCGGGAGTTGGGTCCAAAGTGGGTGTGACCACCAACCAGGTCCCTGACCACTCCGGTGAAGTTCCCGTCAGGCAGGCAGCGGCCGTAGGATTCGTTGTCCGCTGGCAGGACGTAGGTTACGGATGCGTTTAACATCCGGGCGGCCACTCGGGCAGCTACTCCATCCACCGCTTTATAGCCAGCACTCTCCACCGGATCGCTGGGCACCGCCATCAAAGGATCCTTGAACATGGAGAAGCGCATAGGATAACCCCTTAAGTCCTTCATCTTACGGGGGTAATACGAATCCCCTGCCGACCGCTGTATCACTCGCAGACCCCCCAATGCAAATGGGTCAAAGTCGAAGAAGCCATTACCTGCATGGGTAATGGCCAATCCGTAGAGCAGTTGCTTGGCCCAACTTCCCCGGAAGAGAGTCAATAGCTGATCCTGCTTGGCATCGGGCCAAATAAATATGTACTTGTGGAGATGTTTGCGTGGCTGGCGGGGATTCAGCATATCCAGGATTCGGCGAACCAGGGCATCACCCTTTTCGCCCGCTACGATGTGGAAGATACTCAAACTATCCGTGGAGCGCAATGGCTCAAGCTCATGGGCCTCGATGTTCCTTGTGACCACTGGCAGTCGACTACCCACGCAGCGATACAGCTCCAGTTCTAGAGCAGAGTGCTCAGGATCAAATGAAGCTGGACAGCTGGCACAGCGGTACAGATATGTCACCTGGACGTTCTGCTCCACGGCTATCCGACAGGCCATCTCTCCCAGGGAACGAATTCCGGGCAGAGAAAACAGGAGCAAAAACCCAACCGAAGACTCCATTTCGTAGGAGGCAACTAACTAGGCAAATCTCTTTTCGGTGACCCCAACCTGTGGAGGTTTTCCCTAGGGTGCCCTAATCCCCAATTAGGAATAACATCGCGTGGAAAGTTCATTAGTTGACATTTATTTGGGGTGTGTAACTTTGAAATAATTTCATAAACCTGGATTTTGTAGGGAAGGCAGAAAAATTGGGAGTCTTCAACGTTTTAACTTTGCCAACGTAACAGCGAAGTTTTAAACTATAGTTTATATAAGCAAAATCATAAAGCACCTTTTTAAATAAAATAAACATTTATAATCCATTCTTAAAAAAAAAGTTTAAACTTTGAATGTGATTGAGATTTTCTCCCAATGTGGAATATTGACTAGCAACTAATCACCTGAACTTAATTATGGGTTAATGAATACGCATGCTGATAAGGTGTTGTTTGTTTGAAATCTGCATAGTCGTGTCTAAAATTTAAAGTCATTGTGAAAGACGAAAACACCCTGGCGGTTACAAAGATATCCTTGTTGCTTGAGAATCATTGGGTGCAAACGGCATTTAAATTAAACAAATATCAATACATATGTTACTACACAACAAATTGAAAAAAGTAGACTTTGATTTTAACTTAACTTATTCATAAACGCTTTTAACTAGTTTAGTTTCAAATCTTTCAAGTAACGTGTCATGAAAATACAAAAAGGAATTAGTCAAATTTCAAAATTTTTAACAGAAACATTTTATTACTAAATAATAATATAACTTTTTTTATTTAAATTTGTCTAAAATTACTAAAAAATGGGCGACCCTCCGGTTTTCAAGCAACCAGTAAGTCATTTTAATATTATATATCTGAGGACTTTATATTTATTTCATGCCGCAGTTTCTAAACACCTGTGAGATGTACCCGCGTCGAAGAACCACGGAATTCTATAGATCTCCGGAGCCACGAGCCTCGTGCCAAAGTCGCCGGGCGGAGCACCCTCGAGATGTGCTGAACGTAACCCCCGACCAAAATCGGGAGGTTGCTCGCCGATTGCCACGAATCCAGCCGCCAAATAACTCTGACAGTAACTTGCTCCGAAATGGATATTTTTCATAAATTCATGATCAAAAGGCGTTTTAACATATATAATTTGTTTAAAAAGTGTGTTAGTGAGCGAAAGAAATTATAGAAATAAAATAATACAAATTATCATTATTTTTGTTTAATTCTAGTATATAGCATATAAGTATATAAAAGTATATAGTTATAAAAACACTTCATTTGAACTACTTAATTTACTAATAATAATTTACATAATTTTCTTCTGTATATATTAGGTAGCAAAGTAAATTAATTATTTTTATAGACCCATTGTGCATGCGGCAACAGTATTAGATTGCAATGTCATCTGCAGCTTTATAGATTAGTCTAAGTAAGGAGCGTTGAGAGGGAAATACAGATGTAAGAGGGGATCTATATTCCGATATGTTCTGGATTGGACTATGGGTCTTTCGATGGGCCATTGTTCTTTGTTGTCTGCCCGAGTTGTTGTCCTAGCAACATGATTAATGCTCCATGTTTTTGCCATTTTGAATATTTTTAGCAACAATAGATAATGATGCTCCTGAACACACGTTGACCCGGCAAATAAAGCCGACTGCAAGCTTATCAAATAGCTGCCTAGTAACACCTTAATAGCCAGGTGATCATTTTACACTGTAATCCAATTCCTAATCGCTTACATAGTTATGGAAGAGGGCCTGTCACCTGTTGATGGGTAACAAAAACAAAAACATCAAGTGCGATTAAAACTTATCAAAATAAAAGTATCTGCACAGAAAAAAAATAAGACAACTTTTAACGAGATTACATTTTAGCCTTATTCCTGTTAAAATAAATTAGCGTTTCAATGTAAACGTTTTCCATAGATATTTAAAATATATCAAAATAAATACTCATAAATATATAACGATAATAAAGAAACCCAGATTTTTTCCCTAGTCATGCTCGGTACTAGAAATATTAAAAAAGTTTTTTTATAGGAAATAAATTAAATTCAAACAAAATGGAAGGTAAACTTGAAGAGGCCAAAGTTTTATACCCTTGCAGCTGTTACAAAAATGAAACACTCTATATTTCGGTGTTAAAAAAAATGATTTTATATACACCTGCACAAGAAAGACGGCTTTTTGTAAGGTTTCATCCAAATAGCTTCCAAAATAAGGGACTAGTTTGTATAGGACATGGCTAGATCGACTCGCCTTGTGATGATGATCAAGAATATGCACTTTATAGGTTCGAAAATGTGCTCTTCCTGCGTTGCAAACTTTAAACTAAAATTATAATACCCGCTGATAGGGTATAAAATTACCTTGGATATGAGGGTTTAGATTCGATAGAATTTGGGATAAAGTGATTTCTTTGAATCCTATAAAAAATAAATCTATAAGACTTCTAAAAATTCAATCGCCAAACAACAATCAGTTCTAGAGCCATCCAAATTTTATTCTCGAATTTAGATAGTGCTTTTTGGTATGCGAATCTCTGCCTAATCGGAGACCTTATCGCCTGCAATTTTAAGTGCAGCAATGGCTCCACACCTCGAGATTTTGGGCCCCAGGGGTCGATCAGATCCGGCGGAGTGTCAAGGCTACGGACTCGACCGGTCGTCGGCCGCAGTGCAATCTGCGAATCTCTGTGGCCGGGGTATAAATACGGGGCCCGCGCACTGCAGCAGTATGATTCGAAAGATGAAGTCGTTCACGGCGATCGCAGTTGTTACGGTGGCTCTGCTGGCCGTTCTCGGCCAGGCCAAGCACCTGGATTCCACGGTGGCTGACAAGGACTTTCTGGTGAAGCAGCAGTTTGTCTTCCAGGTGATGCAGCACCTGTACCAGGACGACGTTTTCGTGACCCCATTCGCGGCTAGCTTCATGGAGTACAAGCCGTGGGAGCATGTGACCGACTATGTGCACCCGGAGATGCTGGAGTTCTTCTTCGAGCTGTGGCAGCACCAGCCCTTCACCGACGACATGGCCTGGTCGGTGATGTACGAGAAGCACGAGGAGTACGCGGTGGGTCTGGTGCGACTCTTCTACTTCGCCAAGAACTGGGAGACCTTCCAGCACGCCGTGTTCTGGGCCCGCCAGCACGTGAACAAGCAGTTGTTCGTCTACGCCTTCACCATCGCCAGTCTGTTCCGAACTGATTTGCAGGGAGTGGTCCTGCCGGCCCACTACGAGATCCACCCGTGGAGCTTCTTCGATAGCCAGGCTCTGGAATGGGCCGAGCACTACAAGATGCACGGCTTCCACCATGTGAAGCAGATGGACAACATCTACAACGTGGTGATCAAGGCTAACTACTCGAATGCCCACGGCGCCCTGAACTACGATCACGATCTCGCCTACTACCTGGAGGATGTCGGCTTCAACGCCTTCTACTACTACTTCAACCTGGACTACCCATTCTGGACGAAGGGCGGCGAGGAGCATGTCCTGAACAAGGATCGTCGCGGTGAGCTGTACCTGTACGTGCACTGGCAACTGCTGGCCCGTTGGTACATGGAGCGCCTGTCCCACGACCTTGGCGAGGTGCCCGCCTTCAACATGTACGTCCCGACGGAGTCCGGTTATGCCAGCAACCTGCGCACCTACTACGGAGTGCCCCAGTGGCACCGGGAGAACCACCACAACTTCTACCACGGCAACAACTACGAGAACATCGAGCACGTGGAGATCTACACGCAGCGCGTGATGGACTGGATCCACAAGAACGACAAGTTCGACATGGAGACCATCAATGTGCTCGGCAACATCATCCAGGGTAATGTGGACAGCGTGGACAAGAAGTTCTACGGCAGTCTGGACAAGCTCTATCGGTACATCGTGAACGAGGGCCACCACTACGGAAGCGGACACGAGAGTTTCCCGGGCCTGTTCATGCACTACGACACCTCCATGCGCGACCCCATCTTCTACGAGGTGTACAAGACCCTGGTGAGCCACTACTGGCACCTGATGGAGACGTACCCGGAGTACAAGAAGTCGGACTACGCCTTCGAGGGCGTTAAGATCGATGGTGTCCATATGCCCGAGAGCCTGACCACCTATTTCGAGTACTTCGACTCGGACATCAGCAATGCCGTGAATGTGGAGTCGGCTGCGGAGGGTGCCACAGATCCCCTGTACCTCTTCGGCAGGAACTCCCATTACAAGGGAGCCAGCTACGTGATCAAGGCCCGCCAGCAGCGCCTCAACCACAAGCCCTTCGAGTTCACCCTGGACGTGAGCGCAGACAAGGCCCAGGATGCGGTGGTCAAGGTCTTCATTGGACCCAAGTACGATGAGCACGGACATGAAATCCCATTGGAGTACAACTACCAGAACTTCTTCGAGCTGGAGCACTTCAAGGTCCACCTGGAGGCCGGAGTCAACCACATCAAGCGCGCCAGCGGAGACTTCTCCTTCTGGGTGAACGACCGCACCACCTACCTGGAGCTCTACCGCAAACTGATGGACGCCACCAACAGCGACTACAAGTTCAAGCTGGACCAGTCGGAGGCCCACTGCGGAGTGCCCAACAGAATGATGTTGCCCCGCGGCAAGAAGGGCGGCCAGGTGTTCCAGTTCTTCTACATGGTCTTCCCCTACCACCAGCCCGCAGTGGCCCAGTTCACCGGATACAATCCTGTGATCAGCTGCGGAGTGGGACACGGATCCCGCTACGTGGACGCCCTGCCCTTCGGTTTCCCCTTCAACCGACCGGTGAAGCACGACTACTACTTCGATGTGAACAACTTCAAGTTCGTCGACATCAAGATCTTCCACCGCGACGAGCACACCAACGTTGTCTAGATACTACACCCCACGCAAACGAATCGATTACGAATACGAAAACGATCATTAACGAACTAACGATCCTTACATGTTACTTTTTTGTCTACATCCACTTCCCCCCATAGAAGCCGTAATTTAACTCAGTTTTCCCTTAACTTGTCAGTACTCCTTGTCACCATTCAACAATAAACGTGCCAAAACAAAAACTTTACCTGTTTACTCATCTCGGAACCTTGCAGTTAAATGTTTGCAATCCAGTGAACTCAGTTCTTAAGCTGTCCGGATTCAACTTTTTCAAAATTATTTTTTATTTTGCACATATTATGCAATTCGGAGTGGGCCGAATCGGTCGAATAAAACTAAAATTAATAGGAAAATCAACGGAGCATATCCGCCTGGTCAATAACTATTTAAGGCTATACCCAGAACTATATTCGCTTCTAGCTTAATTCGGTTGGAATGTTTATGTTACGACACCTGTGACATCCCTGATTATGTTTAAAAAATAAATAACTAAAATTAATTTGTAAAGTGTTGTACTATTTTCTTAAATACGGATATTGATAAAAAATAACGAAACAATTTTGATTTGGTAAAATACATTTGGGGAGGGTCTACTCAATGATTTTTATCAACCCATTTTAAATTTTATTTTAAATTTGGATAAGCTTTTATCGATAAGCATAACAGTGTGAACATATTCGAGTTTAAATAAATCGAGCAAGATAGGCGTTATCGGCCTATCGCTCGCATCTGGCAACGCCAGCCACTCAGCTGATTAGCTTAAAGCCCATTTCTTGTTCTTGTTTTCTCGTCGAAAGACAAGCACTATTGTTATTAATTTGGCGGATATACTAGTGGAAAAAACAAAATAACAATGATCAATAACAAGAGTTAAACAACAACTTAGAAACATTAGGCAAAACGGGTTGCCAAGCATCAACTTCAGTAATGGATAAAACAAAAGCAAAAGTGAACTAAAACAGATAAAAAGTGATAACGGTGCGATTTCCGAGGTAGTGGTTAAGAAGATAGAAGTCCAAGTGATGCATTTTTTGCATAAAACGTTTGGGAAAACGTACCAGGCTGCAGAATAAGCGCCTTTGGAATGGTCAAAGACTGAGTGGCGTTACTAAAAACATCGTATGATCCGGTCGAGCCCTCTGATTGGTTGAAAGCGCTTACGCATGCTTTCCCGCTCGCGTGTGTGTGTGTGCAGTCCACAGTGGGTCGCATTCTATGTAAAAGCTTCAAGGATTGTACAATATTTAAATACACTACTACCGAACTTCCTAAATTCTGCAACCTTTTGATTTAACCAAACGGTTTAGATCTCCTCCCAACCTACATTTTAAAAGGCAATAGTGTTAAATATATGTTTCAATTCAACGCGATCTTTAAAAAGTAAACTTGTAACTTGTTGTAAGAAAAATAAACTTTTATTAACAAAATTATTTCGCAATTTGGAATAAAGGATATCAAAATAGAGGTTATTGGTTTTCAGTTACAATACTATAATAATGTTTTTTGTACAAAAACTCGCACATTGTCCCACTGTTGTTTTTCTGTGAAATTGCGCCGCCTAGAAATTTAATAAACAAACCCCAAATGTACATACATACGTGGGCCCGCCAATATTTAATTGCACAACGTTTTTGTTGTTTTCATCAGCAGAATAAGCGATGGAAACAAATCCGATGAACTTCATGGACGCTTCGTTAGACGAGTCCATGGATTTGTTTAAGGCAGGGGACGCCTTTGACATGATCAACGAGGTGCTCCACTCGGACATGCTGGACAGCTTACTGAACGACATGGACCTGCAACCGCAGATGTACGAATCGCTGCTAATGGACGAGACGCCTCAATCGCACCCCCAAACGCCGGCCGTGGAGCAACAGCAGCACGTGAAGAGCGAGCACTCCTCGCCGGTTCACATTAAAGAGGAGCAGCAGCAGCCTCCGTTGCTCGTCTACAAGCCGGATCCCCTCATGGCCTCCAACTACAATCTCCCCCAGCAGCAACAGCAGCAGCCAGCAGCAGCGCTCCTGAAGGCCACCCAACCGACGGCAACCATCCACCACATGGATACCCAGCGATTGCCGCCGAACAGCACGGTTTATTCCCCAGCTAATTTTATCTACCGGTCCATTTCCCCACCCACGTCGCCAGCGGAGTCGCCACCGCAGAATGTGAATGTCATGCAACCCATTGCTGCACCTGCCAATTCCTTGGCACTGCAGTGCCCTATGGAACCCTTCATCATGTATGCCCAGCCCATGGCCACGAGTCCCGGACTAATAACATCCGCCGCGGCAATGCCCGTGATGATGGAATCCACGACGACGAAGACTGTGGCCAGTCCGAAGACCTCCCCACCTGTAGCTCCCCCGCCGAGCAGGGCCAGCAAGGTGAGAGTGGCACCCCTGGCACCATCCCCCGGCGCTATGGAGGTTCAAGGCAAGGTGCCCATTACCCGAGTGCAACCCAAGGTGAAGGAGGTGAAGCGCTCCGCACACAACGCCATCGAGCGGCGATATCGCACTTCGATCAACGACAAGATCAATGAGCTGAAGAACTTGGTGGTGGGCGAGCAGGCCAAGCTGAACAAATCCGCAGTGCTCCGGAAGTCCATAGACAAGATACGAGATCTTCAGCGTCAGACGCACGATCTTAAGGCAGAGCTGCAGCGTCTGCAGCGGGAGCTGATGGCCCGCGACGGCTCCAAGGTAAAGGACCTTCTGCAGCTGGGCACCCGGCCGGGACGAGCCTCCAAGAACCGGCGTTTGAGTTCGTTGACCTCCACAACAGATGCCGGACTGACCCCGCCGCGCAGCGACGTGTCTGATCCTTCGCTTTCGCCCATGCACTCGGACATCTCGCTGCCGCCGTCGCCCTACGGAGGATCCACCGCCAGCTGTAGCAGCGGTAGCAGCAGCAATGATGAGCCGCTTGTGGTGCCCAGCTCCATGCGGGGCATGGCCACCCACTCCCGCCTGGGACTCTGTATGTTTATGTTTGCTATTCTGGCCGTAAATCCCTTCAAGACGTTCCTCCAGCATAACCAATATGGCAGCAATGATGACATGGGCGAGTTGAGCGGTCAGAGACGTATTCTTTCATACGACGCAGATGGTGAGTTTGACAACCAGATTTCGGCCCCTTTTCTAGCTAACAATCAAAAATTTTATTTGCGCCAGGTGAAGGCATTTCTGGCTGGCAGCAGAGCTCTTGGATATGGCTTTTGAACTTGATACTGATGCTGGGCTGCCTGGTGAAACTGCTAGTATACGGTGATCCGCAACTAGACGCTCAGACGGACGCTTACTGGCAGCACAAGCAGCGGGCCGACTCCCACTTTGCCCAAGGACAAGCACCTCAGGCCTACGCCAGTTACTTGAACTGTTTACACATGTTTGGATTGAGTCTGCCGGCTTCGCGCTTTGAGCGTTACCTGCAGACGAGCTGGCAGATTCTTCGGTTCCTTTTCCACCGCCTATGGCTGGGTCGGGTACTGTCCCGTCGTACTGGTGGACTGTTCAGCAACGCTGCCAACCGGAAACAGGCGCTGGCTTCAGCACGGGAACTAGCACTGCTATTCAACCGACTTAATCAACTGCAGTTAACTGGGAACGGAAGTCGCGGTGATGGCAACGGTATCATGATGGCCCTTTTTGCAAGCAACATGGCCGAAGTGGCTCACAATCTGCTGACCCCCCGCGAAACCATTTGCATCCACGTGATGACGGCGCTACGAATGAAGCGCAATGCGCCCAAGTGGTTGCAACAGCTCTTCGCACGATACTACATGAGCCGGGCTCGCCAGGAATGCGGTCGCACCCGAGCTGCTGAGCAAACGCAGGAGTTGCGTTGGGCGTTCACTGCCTACGGATATCGCTACTGCAGCACGCACGTCTTTAGCTACGATCTAAACGACTCCGGCGAGCAGCATGGCTTTTTCACGCGTCTAAGGAATCCATGTGACCCCGCTGCCCACGTTATAAAGGTGCTTTAATATACCTATATCTTCCTAAATTTTACAACTAACTAGTATTTCTATTCCCGCAGCAATACCGCGAACACTTGCTTTTTAAAGCTATTCAGTGTCTGGTGGGAGCGGGTCACAAGTCGGGAGGTTTACCTGCATCTACAGCCGGTGGAGAGACGGAGCAACTGCAGCAACAGCAACACAGCGGCACTATCGTCAGCAATGTTCTTAAGTACACCTCGCTTCTGAGGGACACACTGTGGGCAGATGAGGATGAGCGCGATGCAAATGTGGTGTGGTGGGCGAATGTCCTGGAGATTGCAGTGCACTGGCTCCTCGGCGAAGACACGTTGGCCCAGCAGTTACACGACAGCATCAAGCAAATGCCAATCCAGCTTCAGCAGTGCAGCGAGCACGCTCATTTGCCCCGGGCGCTGCATGCGGTGCTTCAGGCCAAGATGATACTATTAATGTAAGTAAAAACGCATCTTGCAGTATATTAAACCAATAAACGTAATGTAACTATAAGCAGGAATAACGGCAATGCCCTGGACAAGAGTCTCAAAACCTCGGTCAATCACCTGTGCAATGAGTCAAGTGTAGAGCTCCAAGAATGTCTCACTGTAAACAGGATCACAAACGCTAACGGCATAAAGTTGGTAAGACAGTCTAAACCCCGATCAACCAGCCAATGGTGACCGAATGCCAGCAGACTACTCCTTCAGAGATGACACGCAGGTGCATTGTAGTCGCATTGTCTGTCCCACTTGCTTCAGGCAATACAACTTCAGTGCAAGCTCTGTGCATTTTACAAGCAACGCCGACTGTCTCTGGCAAAAGTCGCCAGTAAATAAAACCCATGATCATTTTGTCCATTTCCCATTTTTCCAGCTTTTCCAATTGCTTACATGCGATTGGCTGCTTGAAACTCGGACTGCTTTGTGGGAGCTTGAACATATGAATATGGAGGATGATGGCTTCTACCAAGTGCCCGGTGAAGTGCTTGAAAAATTCCAGACCGATTTGAATTCTTTGCGCAGCATTGTGGAAAATATACCGGTACGTTATTTGTATATGTTAATTCATTTATTATTTAGCAATTGGTTTAATTTTCATTTAAGGTTTTTCAAAGTTTATTTTTGTACCATATCTTTAAAACTCAATTTTAAAATGAAATGTAAATCTGAAATAACGATCTCCAGTATTAATTGTTCTTGCCGAATTTAGGACATAATAGTTATGACATAATACAAATTAGTTGCTTGCTTTAATGGGAGGTTCTATCCATACATAGATCATAATTACTTTCTTATGTACATACTAACTAAAACACCTCTTTCTTTTTACGAAAACTTGGCTGTCCCAATGCAGAATGCTCAATCGAGGATATATTTGTACGAGGCGGTTTGTCGTTTGATGGCTGGCGCCTCGCCCTGCCCAACGCAACAGCTTTTGGACAGGAGTCTACGGTCGCGGTACGCCCACTCGTCCATCTTTTGCGGCAGCAAGGACCGGCGGCACCAGAACTTCGAAGGCGGGGAGCGGGAGCGCGCTTCTGCCATGTACGTCGCCTGCAAGTATCTGCCGCCCGCACTTCTCAGTTCCCCGGGTGAGCGTGCTGGCATGCTGGCCGAGGCGGCCAAGACCCTGGAGAAGGTGGGCGACAAGCGGAAGCTGAAAGAGTGCTACCAGCTGATGAAATCGCTGGGCAACGGCATTGGCAGCGTGAAAGCTTAGGGTAGCCGTGAATTATATAACCATTAATGATAAGATCCTGGGATCAAATTTAAAGACAAATATCCCTTTTTTCACTCTAAAGAAGATGGGAGTCGATTACTCCTCTTTAAGCTTTACCTTCGTTTTCCCCGCTTAATTATGCTTAGATTGTAATTCAAATCTAATTTAATATGGAAATTTATATTTGTTTAATATTTACCGTAAAAGTTAATCATATTTATAACAATAAATATTTTAACAGTTTGACAATGCGTTTTACTAGTTGTGCATGCACTTAATTTGTTAAATAATAAATGTATGGAAGACCTATTATTATCCACTGCAAAACGTACAGTTTTCCTTAATAAAATACGTTATTCTTGGACTTCGAGTCATTTTGCCTCACCTAAAGACCCGCTTAGCAAGAATAACTTTCGTCAGGTACTTTACAACAAAAATCTAATGGTTTTCAACATTAATTAAATTGAAATAATACTGACTGCGTATAAAACGTGAAACAGAAAAAACACCTATATTATCTGCAGAACAATTTTTTTTAATTGAGTTATTTACGTGGTTAATTTAAAATATGCATTTCGAAATGGCCGATTTTTTGTTAGAGCCTTATTACTGGAGTACTGTTCTTAGTTTTCTTGGTAAGTTTTGATATATTGAAACATAAACAAAGCCTATAATAATTACAATTAGCTCAGCAATACTTTACGGATTCTCATGCCACTTGTATTTTGTTGCATCCTTCGTTCGATGTTCGTCTGGAAACGGTTGCACCGCTACCATTAATCATCATGGACTCGCAGGGATGGTTAGACCATTCTCATGGAAAAGATGTTTATGATTACAAAAGAAAACGACTTGAGTTTGAGGGCAAGGGAATCCTCTTCAACGATTGGATTCTTAGGCTGACTGTTGCCATAGAAAAGTCCCACTGTCAGGTGAGTTAATAGGAAAGACTAGTCAAAGATGGTATCGCACTTGGAGTGGGTGTCGGGCTGACAGTGATGACAGGTGGCTCCGTCAAAGGAGACCCTCAAATGGTCAAGATCAATTAGAATATTTTTAATCTAAGAAATTATAAAATTAAAGTAGATTCATTTAGTTTATGGCCAAACATGTAATACCTTTTTTTGAGTATCCGCAGTCTTGATAAAGTCAAAGCTAAGCAGAAGTTTATTTTTCGGATCCATTCGTAAGTCTGCTAGTTTTTCCAGAAATCTATTCACATCCTCCAAAGGCATCTGCCAACGTTTTCCCAATTTTAGGTGATTCAGCTTGAGGCAGCTTGTTATTAACGATAAAAGTTGACGACTTGCGTTTGCAGGTGAGTCAATGCAATCCAGGGCAAGGCACTCGAGCTCCGGTAATTGACCCAACTGGTCCACCGATTGAGCTGGCCAATTGTCGCAGTCCAGAGCTCTCAGTCGGCTAAATGACAGGATGTGATGCACTTGGTCGCTCCTAACACGAACGGATATGAGCTGCAGATTTTGGAGGTCACCAGTGCGTCTGGCTACCGATCTATAGAAGTCATTGCTAACCTCCGCTATCCAACGGGAGATCAAACGCAGTGATTGAAGAGCTTTAAAGTCGCCCAAGTCGGAAAAGTTCACATCAAAATTCTCCAGCGTGAGGTGCGCCAAGCTTGGAAACTTCTCTGCCAACTGGGGCACCTGATGCGATCGCCTGCGATCTCGTCCAAAGTTCAGCAGGAGTCGTCTCACTTTGTCCTTGTTTTCAAACATCTGCTGGAAGGCGAGATCACTTAGGTTTGAGTCGATTCCATCCAAGTCCAGGGTCTGAAGTTTAGTAAAATGCCGCAATTGTTCTACTGCAAGGTTTAGTTAGACTTATTCTTAAGTAGATAAGGCGAAATTAATTTACCTAGTTCTGATTCTTTCAAAAATAATCTAACATTTATTTTGATAAATTTAAATATAAATTTTCTGATTAAATAAACAACTTTTTGAGCCCAGAATAATTAGTCATTAAAATAAATAAAATTCTAACTTTTTACGAAATACAAAACAGAAACAGAAATACAAATTGAAATTAAAACCTACATAAATCCATATGCGAGTTATGAAATTAGTTATATATGTAAATGGACATGCTTGTATTAACTTGATTAGGAAAGATTTAAATTTAAACTTCCAAAAATACTTACGCTGTGCAGATCTGGCATCGATCAGAGTAAGATCGGTCAGACTAGGCAGCTCCAGGAGCAGTTGCATGACGTACCCCCTGTCTGGAATCTCCGGCGGAGTCTCTGTAACCGCGTGCATGAATATGATAACCGCCTGTCGCAGATTGGGGCAGTGGCGTCCTAGGAGGCTCAGGAAGGGGTAGTTGAAGGGCTCGTCCCAGCGGCCGTGGGGTACCTCACATCTGGCCACTTCGGATCCACACAGTTGCAGCAGGAACTCCCAGTCCGGAATGGTTTTTAGAATTCGGACATTGATTTTTCCATAGCGTGTTCCCAATAGGTCCTTTAGGACATCCCGGAAAAGCGGATGGGCGCGGCCCAGATTCAGCTGATCCTCCAGCGCAGTCAGGTATGAAAAAATCTCCAAATAGCACTCGTAGTTCAGATCTAGGAAGCTGGGGCCCCGTATGGATTCCTGCGTTTTTCCACCGAACAGACACCCCAACCCCAGTTTGTCCATTATGCTGGGATTTCAAATTTATTTACTCTTTCGGCAGCAACAGTTTTTCCGTTTTTTCTTATTAGATTTGCTATCGATAGCCGAACAGCTGACGATGATTTTTGGTTTGGAGTACTTTCTGATGAAAAACCCCCTTTATTTATAAAGCGATACTATCATAGTAAGCACCTGCCACGAAATCAGATACAAAAATGTTTTAATTTAATCTTTTTATTATTTAACATTTGTTAAATTGATATGCCCTTTGGTACACTTGAGGCATTCTGGAGCATTTTACTTCAAGATTATTTCATTCAAACGAAGACGACTTGAAAAAAAACCGCTTACAAATCAAATTTGAAATAACGAATAAATTCATAACACAACCAAATATAGCATATTAAATAGTATTAGTAAGGTTTTCTGATTTTACCCCTTATGTACAATGTTTCTTATTATACATTTCATACTTCTTTTTATTTAAGACTTTCTTAGCATTTCAGGAGCAGATTCCCGAGTTTGCAAGATCTTTTTATCACGCCAGTATCTACTCCATTTGGCGATCGCTGAGTAATCGGTTTATTTTTGTGTACACCGAAGAGCTGGTAGAAGAAAAAGATAACTATCTGAGTGGATATATATTCCAAGGTAGGAAATACCAAGAAATATTAAAAGAATTTACTTGATTATACCATGTTTAAACTCCAGATCAACCAAATATTTTACTTGTAACCTCAAACAACCTGAACTCAAGCACCTTTGACATTAAAACTAACCGATTTGTTGGACCGCGAAATTTCGATCCCAACCCGGGACCTGTCGAATTTGATCTTATCCAACAGTACGATGCCGAGAACGAGGAGATTATCTGGGACGTTGGGACGAAGAGTACTATGACCGACAAAATGCGAAACCTTCACGGACGCGAGGTAGTCATTGGCATCTTTGACTATAAGCCTTTTATGCTGTTGGATTATGTGAGTCCTCGATTTGTTTTGGAAGAGAAAATAAAATAATAATGATACTTTTTCTTTGAGTCAGGAAAAACAGCCGTTTTTTTATGATCGCTCTGAGAATACGACGGAAGTAACCATCGATGGTACTGATATCCGACTAATGCTCATCTTCTGCGAGCTATATAACTGCACCATTCAGGTGGACACATGTGGGTGATAGAACTTAATTGAAAGCAGATCATTCCAAAACATTATTTAGACCAAATATATTCTATTCTATTTCTATTTCACAGCTGAGACGGCCGACTGGGGTGATGTCTTTCCGAATGCCTCGGGCTATGGTCTTGTAGGGATGGTTCTTGATAGACGAAACGACTACGGCATTGGTGGCATGTATTTATGGTAACATTCTTGATTAGAAACAAGAGTTCTGTAGTACTCATTTCTATTACTAGGTACGAGGCATATGAGTTTATGGATATGACTTATTTTTTGGGCCGATCTGGAGTCACCTGTCTAGTTCCTGCTCCAAATCGTCTAATCAGCTGGACCCTCCTGCTCCGACCTTTCCAGGCTGTCCTCTGGATGAGCGTGATGTTCTGTTTGCTGCTCGAAAGCATAGCCCTTTGCATGACCCGCCGCTGGGAGCACTCCTCGAATTATCATTTTAATTCCTGGATCGGAAGCCTCCGCTTCGGTTGCATAAGTACACTAAAACTCTTCGTTAACCAGAGCACCAGCTATGTGACCAGCTCGTATGCTCTGAGAACAGTTCTGGTAGCCAGCTACATGATCGACATTATCTTGACTACCGTCTACAGCGGCGGACTGGCGGCCATCCTAACACTACCCACTCTGGAGGAGGCGGCAGACTCTCGGCAACGTCTTTTTGATCACAAGCTCATTTGGACAGGGACTTCACAGGCCTGGATTACCACCATTGATGAGCGGTCAGCAGACGTAAGTAAAGAACTAGCGGTTGGAAATATGAAAATATTAATATTATTTAAGCTTTTTGAAAAAAAATCCATAACCGTAATTTATATAAAATATTGTCACACCCAAATTCACATTTTTACAGCCAGTTTTGCTTGGCTTGATGGAGCATTACCGGGTGTTTGATGCTGCTCTGATTTCCGCCTTCTCGCACACGGAGCAAATGGGATTTGTGGTGGAGCGTATGCAATTTGGACATCTGGGTAACACCGAGCTTATAGCCAACGACGCTTTGGAGCGCCTGAAGCTTATGGTGGATGACATTTACTTCGCATTCACAGTGGCATTTGTGCCACGCCTTTGGCCACATTTGAATGCCTATAACGACTTCATCCTGGCCTGGCATTCATCGGGCCTTGACAAATTCTGGGAGTGGAAAATCGCCGCGGAATATATGAACGCACACCGCCAGAATCGCATTGTGGCCTCCCAGAAACCGAACCTGGATATAGGACCCGTCAAACTGGGCATCGACAACATCATTGGTTTAATCCTGCTTTGGTGCTTCGGCATGATCTGCAGCCTTCTCACTTTTGCGGTAGAGCTGTGGAGAGGTCGTGACACGTCCGTACTATAGGTGTTTTTTATTTTCTTGAACTTAAAACGATTGTAGAACATAATGAAATTCTGAAAAATTAGTTATAAAAAAAATCATCGATGGCCTAGCGAAATTCTCTTCATTTGCAGATTAGAGCTTAGTTGGGCCAGTCTAAAGTACTGATGATCTTAAAATGGAGTTTGTATTTTAGCTTATGTACTGCCGCTCAAGTGGAGTACTTGATCAGTAACTCTAGTAATAAGCGGATCGAGCTCATTGTCTCCCAACTCCTTGCCCCACAGATCATACAGAGTGTCAGTGGCCAGCTGTACGGAGTTCGGTGCGGCTGTAGTGTTGAATGTCCGGAGCGTAAGAAAGATGACGGTATCCTCCACGATGGGGCTGTATGTATCACAGATTGTGTGCAGAGCCCGAGCTCCACTTGGAGCGATCTGTGGATTTCACAGTAATTAGAATATTTACAAATGAGATACACCTGGGACTCACTTCGTTAAGATTTACGATTAGGAAGACCTTTCCGTCTTTGACCTTTGCCTTGAACCGCTCAATTGCCAGACCATAGTCATTCATATTCGATCCAAAATCCTCCTTGTTCATGTGAATCAGTTGGCTTGGGCCACCTGTTGGAAATTGTATTTGCAACGTTGATTAGCTGGTATAACAACAAATAACTCTAAAGCTCTATATCATATTGAATTTCGGCGGTTAAATATATATATAATTTTCATATTTGTATGTTTAAAAAAATTTATTGGACTATACTAGAAATCACGATATGTGGTCCGAAATGAAATATGTATACAATCATCAAATCAATTAAAAGCAAAGGATGTAAAAAGTTAAAAAAAAATGGTCCAGATTTGAAGGATTTGGTAATCTTACCGAAACACACAGAAGCCTCGGCAGCAATCGCATCTATAAGTTTTTGGAGCTTAGGGTCTTGATGCAGGAACAAAAACACACTGGGGTGCTTGTCCCTCTTGTTTATAAGTCCCTCGATCCCCATTTGTAGGGCTTTCCAGACTTGCTCAGGCTGTTGTGGCTTATTTCCACGAAGACTCTTAAAGGCACATTGCTTTTCCGCTATAAAATTCGATCCAACGTAGACCAATAATGAGCCCACTAAAACACCGGCTAATGCTAAAGCAAAATAGAGCCCATTGCCCCCTTGGACTTCATTGATATGGTGCTTCTGGTTTAAAATCGGACTGGGAGTTGGAATACTCCGTCTTCTAAACACATCACCGGCTTCAGGAGTTTCAGGATCTTCTTGGGTCTCGTCTTCTTCTTGCTCGCCTGCCGAAGATGTTCCTTCTTCGTAGCTATTTGCAGACTCCCTAATATAGGTGTTGTTTATGTCCACTTCGTCCTTCGCCTGGGAGATAGTCGTTGGTGTGTCGTCGTGCAGTGCTCGCCTCTTCAGACCACTCATTTTTCAAAAATTATACAAATAAATAAAAAGCAAATGGCAAACAAAGAGAAGCTCCTAATCGGGATGACATAAATATCGGCAAAGAATATCAAAAAGTCATCGATAGTTCCAATAAGACCTGAGCAATCAAAGGCAAGTTTTCGTTGGCTGAAGCTTGTATTTCATTTTACATTTAAACATTACATTTGAAGAAACAAACATCATCTTAATTATCCTTCTGATACTGTCAAACACAAGATAATGATTTAATAATAAATTTAAAGTGTAAATCAAAGTTTGCCTGGTCTATTTTTTTTTTAAATTTGCGAAAAATTCTATACATTTTTGCTTTTATTTTGAAAAGAATTTTTAAATTACTGAAACAAAAAAATACTGAACGTTCCACAAAGTCAAAAAAATCCTGCAAAGTTTGTAAATCTTTAAACTTTTTGAAGTTCTAAGTTAATATAATAATTTAAAGAGATTTAAATTGTATTGTTTATTGCGTAATATCCGAGACCTAAGGATGCAATAATTAATACAGTATGTACAAAGTAAATAAGATTAGCTTAAATTAAATACTAATTACTCTTTCTTAACTATTCTTTTGGGCTGTTGGGACCGTGTTTAATGTCAGACGTCTCAGCCTACCCAAGACAAGGATTTCGTCTATTGCTTTTTTGGCGTAGAATTTCTGGTCCTCACTGAGTTTTCGATATTCGAGGGACCAAGTCTGGGCGTATATATTGGACTCCTCTGCGCCGCTGAGATCGAGGGGTAGGGCGATCTCCGGAAGATGGGCCTGTGTTGTAACTATGGGAGTATCCTCGCCGCTAGCGACTCCGGCAACAAAGGCGGCTACATCGGCGGCAGTTGGTTTCGTCTCTATCTCGTCTGACAGGGATTGCTGGTCCTCCTGCTCCTCCATGGGCTCATCCTTCTTCTTTTTGAATTCAGATTCACTTGACGAATTGTAGCTGTATCCATTAAAAGCCTCTTTCTTAAGATACTGTAGATGGCACCTGTGCCGTCTTAAGTTCGTCGTGGACTTGTGGGTGAAAGACATAATACTCTTGCAGCCAATACAAAATAATACGTGTTCCAGGAAGCTGCCATCGTCCTTCTCTATTTTGCGGTACACCCGCCATACCGTGCTACGCGTGCTTTTGTCATTGACAGCCAGTTTATATACACCGCTTTCAATTTTATCGTGAATATCCTCAAATTTAAGCGGCATCCTGATTCACTTAGCTGTGTTGTGATTTCATTTGTTCAGAATCACTTAGCGATGTGATACAATCAGATCAGGTACTTCCTATCGAAAACTGATGGAAATCGATAATTCCGAATGGCCTCTTTACACATTTTTTATTGGATATTTTGACTGTTGAGATAAACTCTGATTGCCAAAAAACTAAAATGACCACTTAGTTGTATTTAAAATCAAAACGCGGCAATGATAAATTAAAATATTTAATAAATTATTTTTAATATAATATAATAAAAAATACCTTAATATTAATTTCAACAAAACTGAAACTTGAAAATCTAAAAACCCAGTGTAAGCGAACTTAAAAGGCACCTACGTCACTAATCGATAGTTAGTGAGGGATAAATTAACCCAGGTGGCAACCCTGCCCAGTGGCACATTGCGCCGGCAATTTACATATACAATTTTGTTTTTATTATTTTAAGAAGTTTTTACTAGTTTTCGTAACTGTTTTCCATGGCGGCTTTGTGCTTGGACTTTCTGGGCTTTCAGGTGTGTTTTTTAATTGCTTTAGTGAGTTTATAGCTGGCATATTACACGCGTTAATGTTCATAAACAGGAGGCACTGAAGAAGATGCGAGATGTGGACGACAAGATTATATATGCATTGAATAATGCGCTGCCCACGGAGTCGTTTAAGGGTCAGGGTCATGTAAACAGCGAGAGCACCTGCCGCGATCTGTACTCGAAACTGCAACAGTCTCACCTCTCCAGGGTAAATCTCGATATCCTCCACGGACCCATTGAAATTACATAAATTCCTCCTTGCAGCAAGATTCCATACGCAGTTGCATAACCATATCGGCCAATAATCTGAAGCAGCTAAGGGAAAAGCGAGAGGCTCTGCCGGATGATGTGGATACGGATAGCCAGTTCAAAGCCGAGCAGCGGAAGGTAAGAGATCTATTACCCTCGGGATCAATAACCCATAAGTTATCGAAAATCCTTTCAAGCTGAGGGTTCTTCAGGCCGAGCTCAATGTCGAGGACATTATCAAGGAACGCACATACAAGACCTTCAATGAGCGATGCCGATCATATTTTCATGCTGGCCAGTAAGTGCCCATACATGCAATAACTAGTTTTAGGTGGATTTATTAGTGGTAGACTAAAAAGAACTGCCCAACCAGGAGGCATTTACATGCACTTGGTTGTATTACAAGTTATTTACAACAAGTACATAAAGACTACAGTAAAAAATCCGCATTTTTATTCTTCTACGGGGAGGTTGTAGGTGGAATAAACCGACCGGATAGGAACGCTTTTAAGGGTCGCCAAGGCTCCAAGGACTAGTTGCGTGGCATCCTTCAGGTCGTTGTACTCGTGCAGCAACTCTATGGTCTTCTTTTTCTGCGAATCCTTTGCTTCCATGTGCTTATTGACCATTTTGCGAGATTTTTTCTTGGAATCCTTCATATTTAAATGAATTGCAATTGTATTGGATTGACTACTATCGGTGGATCGGTATCGATAACGCATCAGCTGTGTGCACTGCAGTCCCGACAGTCTGGCACCCCCGTTGCTTAAAACGTGTAAAATTTTCAAGTTTCTTTGCATGGTTAAAAGGCGGAAAGGATTCTTACGAACAGGTAAATTGTGCTCCAATTACTTGTCGGCGGGATGAAGTATCCAAGAGTGGAGGTATCGTTGCAAAGGGAGTACCCAAGAACTCGAGAAATTGGTAATGCTGACCTAAGCCCGCACCTATACACACGCACGCAAACCAGCCGTGTGCACACACAATGAAATGTGAAAGTGTTGTGATTGTGCATATAGCCAGGAAAACTGAAAAATTCATTAAATTTGAACGCATTACAATATTTATAATATTTTTCAAGTAACGTAATCGCGATCATTCTAGAGATGGTGGCTATTTAAGTGCAGTCACTAAGTGAATGTGCAGTATCAGGGTTTAAAAATCCAATTTGGGATTGAATAAATAAACCCAGTCATAAATATTCACTTTCCATGAGACTATTTCCCCCTTTCTAACAACTATGAGCCGTAGTTAGTTTATTATCTTAATCGAAAGTTTATTTGATCCATTTTTGATGGACTATTTGCATCTTTTCGATTGAAGGACTTCGGGGTCTTAAAATCCAGTGTGAGATTGGATCAAAATATCGGAGAAAATCTAATCACGAACAAAAGATATTTATACAACACAATATAACAACCTATATTATATTTTAGATTTGTAATTGCTAAGACGGCGATATGTCAACCACCCACAAGCAGCGCTATAAAAATGCCGCCTTGGACTCCACTGAAATGCGGCGTCGTCGCGAAGAGGTTGGCATCCAGTTGAGGAAGACCAAACGCGAACAGCAGCTCTTCAAGAGACGCAATGTGGTCCTGGAGCCGGCCACATCCTCGACATCGGCCGGAAATGAGAGCAGCACCAGCAACGATCTACAGGTGGGAGTTACAAAACTCTCTCTTTCTGACCAGGCTGCCGACATGCACATGGCTGACAGCAGCACTGGACCTTCACATTTTCCGGGCGGGCAAAACGAACCAACTGCCCGAAGCGGAGCACAGCCATCCGTAATTAACGAGGAGATGATCCAGATGCTTTACAGTGGACGGGAGAGCGACCAGCTGGAAGCCACGCAAAAGTTCCGTAAATTGCTGTCCCGCGATCCCAACCCACCTATCGAAGAGGTCATACAAAAGGGGATTGTGCCGCAGTTTGTTACTTTTCTACGTAACAGCACGAATGCCACTTTGCAATTCGAGGCCGCCTGGACGCTAACAAACATTGCCTCGGGCACCTCGCTCCAGACCAAGATCGTGATCGAGGCCGGAGCGGTGCCCATTTTCATTGAGCTGCTCTGCAGTCCCCATGACGATGTCCAGGAGCAGGCTGTGTGGGCTCTGGGTAACATAGCCGGCGACTCGCCAATGTGCCGGGACCATCTGCTCGGCTCCGGAATTCTAATGCCTCTCCTGCAGTGAGTTATTCTAGCTGAGTTCCCAAATTCGAGTAACATTTAATTAAACTTCTTGCAGCGTGCTAAACAACTCGGAGCGCATAACAATGATCCGGAATGCGGTCTGGACTTTATCTAATCTGTGTCGCGGCAAGAACCCACCCGCGGACTTCGCCAAAATCGTCCACGGTCTGCCCATACTGGCACGGCTACTGGACTACAATGATGCGGACGTGCTTAGCGATACTTGCTGGGCTATTAGCTACCTGTCGGATGGACCGAACGATAAAATCCAGGCTGTTATTGATGCGGGCGTTTGCCGTCGTTTAGTAGAGCTGCTATTGTGAGTGTTCATGTATTTTCTTTGGAAGTTAACGAGTAAATAATTGATTCTATCTTGCAGACATCCGCAGCATAACGTAAGCACAGCTGCGTTGAGGGCTGTTGGCAACATTGTAACCGGCGACGACCAGCAGACTCAGGTGATATTGGGTTATAATGCCCTGCCCTGCATTAGCCATCTGCTGCGTTCGACGGCGGAAACCATTAAAAAAGAATCGTGCTGGACAATCTCAAATATCGCGGCCGGCAATCGGGAGCAGATCCAGGCAATAATCAGTGCCAACATATTCCCGCAGCTGATGATTATCATGCAGACGGCAGATTTCAAGACGCGCAAGGAGGCAGCTTGGGCTATTACCAACGCTACCAGCAGTGGAACCTCTGAGCAGATAAATTACTTGGTCCAAGTGGGGTGTGTGCCTCCTATGTGTGATTTTCTGACTGTCATCGATTCGGACATCGTCCAGGTAGCACTGAATGCTCTAGAAAACATTTTGAAAGCAGGTGAAAAGTTCCAGACGCGACCAAATCCTTATGCCATTACCATCGAGGAATGTGGTGGTAAGTGAAACTATTAAAGCTGACTTAAATTTAAATATCCTACGTTCATGACAAATTTCTTAGGTCTCGATAAGATTGAGTATCTGCAGGCTCACGAAAACCGCGACATCTACCACAAGTCGTTTTACATAATCGAGCAGTACTTTGGCAACGAAGAGGAGGACAGCCGCGTGGCCCCCGTGGCGGGAACCCAGCAGTTTGAGTTCGATCCGGACAACATGCCCAGTAGCGGCTTTAACTTTTAGCACCATACCTGGCAGGGCAGTATAAACACTATCCAAACGCGAATCCTTCTGAGGTCCTGAACACATGAAACACAACAGGAAACAATGGCTTGCCTACTTTGATTTAATTGGAGGCCAGAGCACGGGCACGAAATATTGGCCGCAGGAGAAGGCAGACAATGCCTAAGTGCAGTCACTACTAGCATTTAAGTAAAGTTGGTCATTCAGTCGGCTCGTTTTTGCCTCTTTGTTAAACATACTCGTCTGCATATTGTTTCAGCGTTTAAACCTTTATAATTTTCGAAGTGGTCCAGGACCAATCATGACCTTATTCGAGCATTTCTCCAGCTGGCGAGATCGCTTTCACTTAGTTCGTATATACTAATTTAACGTGTTATACAACCTAATGTATATGATTTTGCTTTACTCAATTTGAGTTTGTAAATATTTTTCATTAAGCCCAATTACGTTGAGACCCTGACATGGTGTTGTTATACATTCATACAAACAAACATACTTTACGATAATAATACAAATAACTTGAAATGTTTTTATTTGATTTTGTTACGCCAATCGCCCCCTGTAAATTCGTTTAAATTATGAAAAATATTAATTTAATTTAGAGAACACAATAAAGGACAACTAGACCACAACAACCCAGTATCCAGTATGTAAAAAACAAAATACTCTTTTTAGAAGTGTTCGACATATTTTTAACCAAATCTTTAAATATATCGTGGTTTGTTTAGATTTATCATAACCTCATATTTAAATTAATTTTCTGAACCCTCAGGGATAACAAGGGGTAATACATTTAGCTCCGTCATGGCCATTTTTTTGATTACTCTTGATTCTCTTCTTCGTACTAAAAATATAAATATATCCTACCTTCCCGGATATGATATAATACCGACACCGTAGAATCAAATTATACACTTAAGTGCGCTTGACAAACTGCACTTTGTAGGGTTTCGGTGTTAGCGTGATCCCGGGTAGAAGGACCATCGATGGTGTCTCGCCCGGCGGAAGGACTATGCTGAAATGCTGCACAATACGGACCAGAAACGAGAAGATGCAGGCACGGGCAAGGGCATCGCCCAGACAACGACGTCTTCCCATGCCGAAGGGCATAAAGTACTCGTCCTTGAAGCATTTGCCAGCTGGATCGATAAACCTTTCTGGGCGAAACTCCAGAGGATCCTTCCAATGTTCTTTGTCCAGATGCACGGACCGCAAGCTGATCAGTATGGTGGCATTCTTGGGGATATCATAGCCACCCAGCTTAGTGGACCACAAAGCCCTCCGGGGACCCGTAATCGGGGTGATGTGGAAAAAGCGCTGAACCTCCATGATGAAGGCGTCCATGTAGTCAAAGGATTCCCGCCGGCTCAAGTGAGGAAATGCATCCGAGCTGGCGGCCGCCACACTGGCGGTCACCTCGGAGAAGAGCTTTTCCTGAACATCCGGCCGCATGGCCAGCACCATTAAGGCCAGATTCATCGTGTTGCTGGTTGTCTGAGAGCCAGCGATGAAGAAATCGAGGATGGTCATTACCAACTGTGTCTCGTTGAAGCTACTGTTTTCGCCGCCGGCACTCCGATCCCTCATCTCCTGGAGGTAGGCAAAAATAAGGTCGCTTTCAGCCGGCGCCGGATCCTTCTCCAGCTGCCGTCGATGCTCTTCGATGGTGTCCATAAAGAAGCCGTACAGCTCTGTGTTCAGCTGCTGGATGAGATTGTAGCCAGTGCGATCGGGGGCCACATGACGCAGCCAGGGAAACTGTGCCAACAGGCCGCCGCAGATGTCAAAGAGCTTAGAACGTCTGTTCATCAGGTCGAGCAGCCGGCGCAGGGTTCCATCCTCTTGGCTGGCTATCCTCTTTCCGGCGATCAGGAACCACAGGACATTAAGAACACTTTGGGCCAGCCAAATAACCGGCTCGACCGGCTGTTCCTCCGTCCTTTCCAACTGGCCCAGCAGCTCTTTCGCCTCCAGTTCAATGTGATGCTCCATCTGGCTGCGACCATAGCCCACGTGGCGCATCTGCTTCATGGCAAAGTGGCGGTGCTCGTACCACAGTTGTCCGTCCGTGCAGGTGATTCCCTTCCGCGTTCCCATGGTGCGCAGGCGCAGGAAGAAGTTGTCCGGCCGTCCCTCGAACACCTCCTGCAGCTGCACCTCTTTGACCATTTCGTGACCCAGGGCCACCACTACGTACTCTCGACCCAGTTTTAGCCCTACCAGATCACTCCGGAAGTCCTGCGCCCACCGCTCAAACAGGATGTGCTGGCCGCCAAGGGCACGGGCCTCCTTTCGGAACTGTAGAAAAACAGAGGTATACTTATATGTTAACTGCAAAAATATATTAACTTATACATATGGATGTATATAAGCTATGTAATAGCAAATTTGTTCAAATTAAAATGTTTTATTTCGTTTATGCCCGTTGCTCGTAGAATAAAAAGTTATATTGCATTCGTGGAAGTCTTCTAAACAAAAAAAAAACGTTTCTAAAACTACATACATAAATATATATATTCTGTTTTAATTTGGTACAAGAGAAATCTATTTTATTTAGAAATTTTAAAGAAATTAAAATTAATGGACAAAACGTGGTCAATAAAGTCAACACCAGCAACAAAATATTCCCCACGACATATGCTAAAAACATTTTTATTTTTAAATTGTTAAATGAGTAACGAGTTTTGTCTTTAATTCATACCTGTATGGTGTTGCCAAGCCATGGCAGAAAACGAGGTCCTGTTGAGATAATAAATTAAAAGTAAATCAGTAAAAAATATATTATAATACGATAAAAAAAAATCATTAGGATATAACAAGGCCAATTAATAGTAACAAATTTGGTTTAATAAAACCATGAAACTGTCCAATTCAATTATGTGGTTTCTACCTTTTAATTATCTAATCGGTTTCAAAGAAATCTGTTGGGTGGTAAATCACGAAATCGAAAGTGAAAAGTCTATCTTGTAATCTATCGCTAAATTCCCTTAGTACTAACTATTAATACGGCGTGCTTCATTGCATTTCATAACTAATATACACAGTTATTGTATTATTTTTCTCTTAGTGCTAAAACTTTCATTATAAGTGGCTAACCAATATACATATGTAACTCAATTTGAATTGTAAATTTGCGAAATAATAAAACTGCCTATATAAAGGAATGGCTTCCATTGCACCCATAATCCCAATCCTAATGCATAACGAACTGCATTTGTAAATGGAATAAATAGGCCTGGCCCTTGTTGATGGCGAATTAAGACCAGTTAGGCAAGGTGTCACAAATGTGTGACAATTTTATCAATGAGATTTATTAGCAATTCGAGACGTGTGCCGTCTGGTTCTCCGCCGATATATCCGATCACCATTACAAGCTGCTAATGAGCTATCCAATTGGTCGTGGGGCAGGTCGTCTGTTCATTTGTTAGATATTTATCAAAATTTATAAATCCAACTGTTTTTGGAAATGTACCTTATACATATTTACGCAATTAAATATATTTTAAAGCTCCATATCTTTTACGTAAACTTCTAGCGAAAAGGTAAACTTCCTCACGTATCCCTATGTGGATAAATCAAACATATTCTCACCTGGGGGAAAATTCTTGGGACGCCGCACAGAACTGATAAGTGAATAAATCACGAAACCAATTAGAATAGCACACAAAAATATGAGGGCACTCATTTCAATATATATCTTTGATGTCCACGACCACGAAAAACGAAACCGTCGCAGAAGCAAGGCTTTTGTCCAATTAAATTGATATTTAATAGGGAGCCAAAATGTAAGAGCGTCCGTACACCACGCCAGCTCTATGCCAACTGATTCCGAACCCGAATCCAATGAATGAGAGAACCAGACCCAGACAAACCCACGCGCCTGGGCTGCCGCCTTTTCATGTGGGTCTGATGATAGTGCAGGCAAATAAAAAAAATAAACGGGCGAAAAAGCCCGTCTCAGTTGATAAACCGAATACACTCATGTAGGTATATATGTAAGTAGTTATGTGCCCAAAGAAATTCGAGCACCGATCACGTCCAAAACGTGCTTAGCCAAGAACTATTTGTTGTTTTTAATTTACTGCGACCTCTCTTTACCACACTTTTGGGCGCCTAAGAGCAATGTAGAAAACTAGATTAGTGGAAATAAAGATTATTCCCACGATCCAATAATAACAGTTCGAAATCAGTTCCTTATCTAAGCAAATGTTTTTTTTTTAGTTGTCCGTTAATTAAATGGATGTGGTACAAAAATGATGAGCTTATTCATATCTAGTGTTTGTACATCGGATATGGAATTTCAACCGCCGGCGCCAGCAACACGAAAGCTGATCTTTGGAAATGTATAAAAGTGTTGGATTGTAATATTTACTATAGGAAGACCGAGTTCTTGGCAATTATATAGTCAATCTCGCTCGTCCAGGGATTCTTAAAGGCCCGCCACTCGCTCTGCAGCTGAATATAGTTGTTGTCCTTGCACCGGAAGCGGTATACCTGGGTGGTGACCTTTTCCGGCATCTGCATCACCATTTTGTGGGACTCCATCAGGGCGGCGATGTCTTCGTTGTGGAAGTACTCGTAGAAGCTAGTGCCTAGAATCTCCTGAGGAAGGAAGCCGATTACGAGGGTGGCACTGCAGGAAGGAAAGGAAAACATAAAGATCTTTCATAAATATAAATATTATTATTATAATATTTATTATTAATAATATTTATATATAGAGATAAAATTGCTTTGGTTTGATCTGAACAAAATCTTAAGCACTGTTTTGATTTTTGCACAGTTTATTTGTCTATTCCACAATATAAGTATAACTTACCGCTGGTCGATGAACAGAAATTTTCCTTCGCCGGAGTGCCTCGAGATGAAGAGCAAGTGCCTAATGTTCGGGTGATTGTCCAGCGAGGCGGGTAAGGTGGAGTTGCGGACGTTGGGCGGAATTCGACCTATTGCCACCAAGCATGAGGTATTCGTTGTCTGCTCGTTGCTGTCGCCGTCCTGATCTTCGTCCTTGATGGGTGTCCAAGATTTGAGGTAGCCCGTGCACTGGATCACTCGGTACTTGTGACCTGTACTCAGCCTGGACTTGCGTTTCGTGGAGCTACGGGAGCTTGAAGATGTGTCGGACTCCTCCTTAATCTGGTTGTTGTTGGCGGCGCGTAGCTTCATGCGGCAGAAGAACGAGCGTCGGGCACCGGGACACAGGCGGCACAAGCTCTGCGGAACGTCGGTCTTTACGGGTAGCATGGCTATTGGGAGTAAAAAAGAGAACAACTTATAAATCCGTTTAAAAATGCATACTTTTGGAATCTAACTTTTTGCATCGATGAGCCTTTCTCTTGGGCATTGCTCCAGCGACGACAGTTGCTCCTTGACCTTGCCAATGTCCTTTGGGTGCAGGACGTCGAACCAGCTCTGGTTCAGCAAATCCGCCGGGGTGCTGTTAAGCACACTGGAAACCGAGTCGGAGACGTACAGGATGCGTCCCCGGTCACAATCCACGACAAACAGAAAGCCCTCCGATGCCTGCAGGATAATCATCTTGAGCTCCTGGTCCGAGAGAAAGCTCGGTCTGTAGTCGGATCCGTTGAAGGGATGCAAACTGCCGCTGCCACGGATCCCCCGTAGATGCTGAACTGCCATCCGGAGCACCGTCAGCTTGTCCAGTTTCCGCTGCATCGCAAAGCACATGGGAATCATGGAGGAGAGCTCGTTGATGTACGTGTTCATCTTATCCCGCCGTCGCTTCTCTATTTCACTGTGGTTCTGTCTAAAAAAGGAGATCAAATATTTTTGATTAATTTTTTTATAAATAAAAATCGTTGTTTTAAATTGGTATCCCAGATCAACACAGGACTATAATGCAAGTTCAATATTAATTTTTTTATTTAGGTAATTGAATAAATTTAATTTTAATTTATCTTTCTTTGTAATACAAATGATCTGAAAATGATTTGTTTTATATAAATAAAAAATCTATTCTAGTTTTTTTTGTATGATTTTAACCCTTTTTTTTAACTAATAAATATTACATACATTATTTATTTAAAAAACTGAAATTCATATATGATTAACAATTTTACAATTCTCTTTACGCGGACCATAAACGAATTGACTTTTTATTAGGGATCTTAATATGAATAAAATTTTAGCTTTACTTGCGATTTTCATCTGAGGTTCTCGCGGACTTCTCCTCGTCGAAAGTTTCATCTTCGATCTCCTCCAGATTTTCGCTAAAAGTGGAAAACATACATATGAATGGACTTAAATCAACCCCGGTTTTTTCCGTTAGTCCGTGTGCTGGTGGGTGAATTTTCCATACAAAGGGCATCAACTGTTGCTTCCTCTTCCCTTAACACCGACACACACACTCACCTGGAAAACTTCTGTGTGAGCTTGTTTTCGTGTGGGTGCTTAACACACACCATTTCGCTTCATTTTATGTAATGTGTGTAATTTGCAATGCACTTTTCAATGGAACTTACCAAAACTCTTGACCTTCCATCGCGAATCAACAGCTCTTCTTTGGCCGAATTAAGTTCGTTCTGATGAAAACCCTTCAGTTTGTTTACTAACATTAACGTCCAATAAAAACATCTAAAACGGAAGTGTATGCAGGCCGACGAATTATATTAATTGCAAGCTTTTCCTGCATCTTCAGCTTGGAAGCTCTAGTGTGAACGCGGCTGGAAAATATACCATCCAGCTTTCAGAAGTATTAGAAAATATACCACTATTATAAACTTGCTGAGGGTATTGATTTCAAAATTTTGTTAGCACAGAGAAGCAAAAGTTTCCGATACTATTAATTAATGCGCACGTAAATCATATTTGAAAACGACGCTCGGAGGACCATTTCATATGGCAGCTACATAGGAAAAATCGAAAAAGGGTGGTTTCCCGCCGGCGGCTTAATTGCCGCTCAAGTCGTTTTTATTCTTTTTTTAAAAACTATTTATTTATAAAAATATTATTTGACAAATATTCGCCTTAGCGTAGTAAGCGTTCTCGTTCGTTCTAAAATGTACCATATTTGCTACGGCAAATTTTAGGCGCGTAGTTATAGCAATATCGCAATATTTAAAGTTTACTAAAATTTTCAATTTCTTAAATTTCCCAAGTCCACTTTTAAAAAAGGTAAGAAATGTACCATACTTTTTGAACAATTAAACAAATTAAATATTTCTAAGGGAACTTTTCGTATATTTATACAAACTGATGTCATAGATAAATAGTTAATACAAATTCAAACAAACACAACATAACTACTAAGTACAAAAAACTAATGTTCCTTCTTAACATAATTACATCCTATATGTGATACATTTTATCCAGGCATAGCGTAACGACCTGCATGTAGCGATCCCAAAGACATCGGGTCTCCTGATCCCTGCAAATTGATAATGTTTATCAAAAAACAATAAATATGTCTTGCTTACAAAATCTTACCTAGATATTTCTAGATCCAAGACGCTTTGGGTTATGGAAGCCAGAAACTTGTTCACCTGCTCGCGATTCCAACCATTTTGACGCCAAGGATCAATCAGTTTCTCGCAAAGGTCGACAAATAGATCGCGAAGCTCCCGATTGCGGTGTAAATTGCATGCAATAGTAATCAAAGCACGCCAGTACGAGCTGCAATACATTTGAATTACACCATAAAATGGTTAAACGCTTGTGCGAAAAGTCCTTACCGAAAATTGCCATCCAGCTCGTGAAAGGCGCGCTCTAAAAGAACAGGTTTGAGGCGCATGCAGACGAGGCTACATACAAAGACTACTATTTAATGGCTCATTGGTAATAGAAATGATTTCTTACTGCTTAATTTCTTTTTCCTTATCCAGCAGACATCGCAATTCCCGCAAATCCAGTAGAAACTCTTTGTCCATTTCGGTATCATAATATTCCGGGCCAGTGTGCTGCAATCAGTCAATTAGTTTCATAAGAAATCAAAAGGGTTAAATCATGCCTGGTATGTGTAAGTCCAGTAGATCATGATGGCATGAGAGCAGGTTAACAAATCGCTGAAACTCAGGAATTGAAGCTTCTTTTTCGTGGTTTCAAAACGCAGACAGGCCAAGAAAACGATGCAGGCATACTTCCTGTAAAATTTAAATGTTTACAGCTTAGATAATACAATTAAGTAGCGTTAAGTGTATTTCTCACTTGGCAAGTTCGGTGGATATAAAGAAATGCTGCTTTATGTTGTTGGTCAGCGTGCCCGGCATCTCCTCCACAGCCTTAAATATTCGTTTCACGTTGTCGAACTGCCGGCTGGTAAGGAATAACTAACAATTTAGATTGACTGTCTATAAAATGGCCAACTAACCTACCGAACCGACTTCAGCTTGACGCATGTTTTTTCAGCCACTTCGTCTAGATCCTTGCGGTAGCGGGACGTCAGCTTCTTCCCAAGAATCTCACGGGCCACCACATCATCGATGGAGTAGTACTTCTCGGTGATCAGGTCGCGCATATGTGGCTCCAGCTGGAAACAGGATTGCTCCATTAGCTTGGTGGGTGCGTTGAGATAGAGCTCAATCAGGGAATAGGTGCGGTAGTGGTCCAGCACATCGGAGGCAATCAGATCGCTGGGAGCCCCCATGGAGTGTCCAAATCCTTTTTGTTTCAAATAGGACACCGCCTCGCTGGCTGGAAAGATAATTCGGCAATCACTTTAAAGGCAACCAGGTCGGAACGAGAAGTACTAAACTTACAAGAAAACCCTTCGATCCATAGCTGGTATATCTCTGGATCCACGAGGGTGTAGTTACTTATAAAGACATCCACATCGGCCTAAAAATTGGAAGTTTTTATCAGAGGGTGTGTGCATGAAAACAACAAATTGCAGTTACCATTTTATTTATAGAGTGACCGTTTGCCCAAAATGCAGTACAATGATTAATGGATTCTAGAGATGGCAGCTTTGTAAAAAATATATATATTTTATTTGTTTTATTAAATTAATAGGCCAATTCCAGTTACCATTTAAATATCTGTGTAAAAATGTATATTACAAATATTTGCCGATAGAATCAAATACTTTAAAAATGTGAAAAAATTGGAATTTCTTTTTATATGTTTAACAAAATTTCAAACAGATTTTAGTGTAGATACCAAATAGTCAATTAATGAATAGTAATATTTTGAGTTATTTCTTAGTTTAATCAAGCTGTATGAGGTATATTCGCAAATATTTTAAGAATAAATAATCCAATTTAGGACCCCGCTGAAAAATGGTTTCGATCCGAAAAATGCACATATAGTTAAGACATACAGTTGTAATACATAATTCTCATTTTCCATTGGCTCTTTGCAATGTATTCTAAACTTAAATACAAATAACAGTTAAACTTTCGAATTACGAAATCCAGTGATGGGATAAAGCTTATAAGCACGAAACGCGGCTATCGATAGCGCCGATAACAAGCGATAGCTGCATCGCGCATGACAACTCTATCATGAGGAAGAAGAGGAGGATATCAACTTTTAGAGAAGAATTTTAGTAAAGTTAAAGCTTAAAAAATGTAAATTGCAATGAACCAAAAGCTGTAAATAGGGCAATGCAACGAGAACGCGAGCAACGTGAAATTCACATGTGAGTGGTGAGCGCGGGAAAAACGCGTATCGCGGCGGCAGCAGCAACAACAACAGACCGACCGTCCGTCGTCGGACGTCGAATATATATCGTATCCAATTGCAATTGTTGCAATTCGATGAACAATTCAACCGTATTAACATTATTGGCCCGAAGAATAAGTGAAAGTGAACTGGCATAACAATAATATGGAACAGGTCGACTCCTCCACCGAGCTGCACCTGAACAGGAAAGATCTGGCCGCGCTGGCCGATGATGTTGTGAAAGAAGAGGTGATATTAGAAAGCCCGGGCCATCACCATCATCATCATCACCATCAGGTAAAAAGGAGCAACAAACGAGGCGCCTTTTGGCTCTGGCTTTGGCGGGGTGGTTTTGGTTCCAGACTGTTCAGGTTCAGGTTCTATATGTGAATCCGAAACCGAATCTGGCTCGACAAACCGCTCCGCTTCGCTCTGCGCAGTTGTGGAAAGTGGGTGGTGGGTGGTTGGGCGGCTGGGTGGCCTGGGGGTGGCGCAACTTGCGCCCTACGAGCGCTCCATGCGACCCACTGGGCCACAGCCATCCCCCTGCCTCCTCCTCCTTCCACCTCCTCCACCCACCGCATTTGTGGCGCACAAATGTTGTGTATACCGATTTTCATTTTTCCCATGCTGTGTTGTTTACTTACATTCGAATTTTCCTCTCTGACTCCTGTGCAAATCGCAACGAATTAAATCGCCAACGCCACCAATTGGCCGCTGGACATTCACCCACATACATGTGACGAACGTGGGAATATGTGCGCTATGGTAATGCAGTTGGACTCCAAGGTTCGCATGGTCACATCCTCCTCCAACGACAACAGCGGCAGCGGCGGCGCCAGTGGCGGAACGAGCGGAGCGGGCGGAGGCGGAGTAGTTTCGGTGCCCGTATCCTTGCCCATCGGATCAATGTTAACCGGCACCACCTTCAATGTGATCACGCCCGACCAGCTGCCCCACTTCAAGCCGATGCTGTGCGTCGACAACAATGGCTACCTGTCCGGCAGCACGGTCGTCATCCAGCAGCAGCAGACGCAACCAGGCGGCGGTGGTGGCGGCGCCAACAGTGCGGGCACCAATACGACCGCCACCAATACGATTGGACTGAACCATGATGGCTCCGGGAGCAACAATAGCCACGATAGCCTGGCCACCTTAGAGCACGCCACCGGCGGAGCGAGTGGCGTTGGTGGCGGCGGCGGCGGGACGGGAGGTGGCTCTTCGGGCTGGTCTGAGAACCCGTCCACCCAGCACATGGAGGTCTTCCAAATCCGTTGCAAAACCACCTGCGCCGAGCTGTATCGCAGCAAACTGGGCTCCGGCGGCCGTGGACGCTGCGTTAAATACAAGGACAAGTGGCACACCCCCAGTGAATTTGAGCACGTTTGCGGCCGGGGCTCCAGTAAGGATTGGAAGCGGTCTATCAAGTACGGCGGCAAGTCGCTGCAGTCCCTCATCGATGAGGGCACGCTCACGCCGCACGCGACCAACTGCAGCTGCACGGTCTGTTGTGACGACGAAGCAGGTGAGTCAGGTGAGACGAACAACAATTATTATACACTGCGTCTTGACGGACCTGGTCTCAGGTCCGCCATAGCGCCAGGAGTGCAGGAGACTCGCGCACAACCCGAGAACCGGGGACTTAAAATTGATTACTTTAATTTCCGACTCCAACTTTTTTATATTTGCCAGGACTCTCAGACACAATCCTAAAGATAAACCTCTTTTTACAATGGATCAAATCCAAAATAAGCTAGTTATTCTATTAAAGACGTTAAAACCATACCATCCTTCTATAAATCAGTTCCGGAAACAACAAACAAATTTACGCATGACCACAGATTCCTCAATTAAATAAAACTTTATAGATTTACAATAAAGCTCTAAAGAATTTGCTTTTAAAGTAATACATTTATTAAATAAATCAATTTCTACCCTTAAAGAAATCGACCAAATATTAAAGTTAAAGTCAAATATAAGTAGGAGAGTTTTTCCTGAAGTCAATAAAATATCATATAAAATATTTTTTCAATTTATATTAATAGTGAAATTTTTGCATTCTTATGTTAAGGTAACGAGCAAAAACGATTGGCTTGTCAGTTAATTAAAAACAATTTACATTTTGATTGCTATTGACAACAATTTTAAAAGGCCCTGGGCGTCAAATGTCTTTTTTAGTAATTAGTTTGTTTGATTTTTTTTAATAACTTTAATGATAAATGTTTAATCGGACCATTATCGGACAGTTTGACAAGCAAACGTCTTAATAAAATCGGAAATAGTTTGTTTCAGTCAGTATTCAGATTAAACTCCCATGCTTGTGTTTTCTCCAGTTATGCCGAGCTCCATATGCACCTCAGTTAAACGTAATACATTTGTTTAACCCCCTTACACACTCATCTTGTTTAGCATCCGGCCCTGTCCGACTCTTCACGCCCTACAAGCGGCGGAAGCGGAATCAAACTGATCTCGATATGGAGCCAGGACCCAAACGCAAGCGTAATGCCCATCACAGTAACAACAACAACAGTAATACCAATAACAACAACACAAGCGGGAGTGGAGCCAACAATTGTGTAGATGTGACCTCCGCTGCTGTGGCCGCAGCAACAGCCAGCGTGGTGGACGAGAACAACATGTTCCTGGCGGACGAGAACATCACGTCCAAGGACGAGCCGTGGGCTGCACTTAACGACAGCCTGGACACCTCCACCGAGCTGGTCGACCAGTCCCAGATGGGCAATACCTACGAACGAGAAACGTTTGTGGTAAACATCAACGATGGGTCCTCCATCGCCGTCCTGGACACCAGTCAATCGATGAAGAACATCGAGCATGTGTACTGCACCATGGTCAAGGCGACCAATGATTTCAAGCGCCTGATGAACGACATGAAACAGTCATATGAGCGTCGCCTCGAGGTTCTGCAGAAGGAGCGCGATGCGGCGGTCAGTGCAATGCGTGTTCAGGTGCACGCCGACATCGACGACCCGAATATATCCGGTTCCCTGCATGGCAACGAGATCATTTCGGCCAAGAAGGTAAACATTAAATGAATCCTGGCTACATAGCTACATTTAGCTTTAAAACACTAGTTTAGTCTAGGAAATATTACAAAAATTACTTTCGAAGTACCTGTAGTTAAACGGTTTATTACTCTAATTGGACTTAAACGAATTTCAACAACAATCCACTAATCTGTATTCTTTTTTTAAATAGTGCGCCAACTGTAACCGTGAAGCATTGGCTGAGTGCTCTCTATGCCGAAAGACGCCGTACTGTTCAGAGTTCTGCCAGCGGAAGGATTGGAATGCTCATCAGGTGGAGTGCACAAGAAATCCACAAACGACAACGCAACAGGTCATGCTGTTGATCGACGATCAGTCCTAAGCAACGTAACGAATTGTACATACAAATTTTACTACTAATTAATACGATTATAGGAAGTTCCCCCTAAAGTCCCATATGAACGGTCCAGGCCATCCACCTGTAGTCCACTCCCAATCCCACTCTCCTCGATCCCCATTAGCGAGCCTGCATCCTTTTAGACTTATGTCCTATATTAATGTAATTCTTAACGTACATATAACTATATAAATATACGAGTATATACATTTTACTATTGAACGTAGGGCAAGCCGGCAAAAAAAAAAAACAAAAACAAGCGAAACGAAAATAAAATTAATTAAAAAAAGAGAAAAATGTAGCAAGCGAAAATCAAAGCAAGTGCAAAGGCGTAGATAATTAATTAAGCTACGATTTGAAAATAACAGAAAACTAAACCGATTACTTGTAATTCAATTTAAATTAAATTAAATTAATAATAGTTGCAAAGCGCATAGCATAACTAACAAGAGACCCCAAACATCAAAATCCCCAGCACCCCATAAAAACACACACAATCACCCACAGTGAATAAAAAAAACTAGAAGAAACCTAAGCGAAGAAAAAAATTCTGAAATTAGCATACATATTCGTCTATGTATACACTTTTCATTAGACTCTAAGCGCATAGTTAAACTTTTAACATTTTACAATTATAATTTTATGGATACTACTGCCCGTTACAAGCATCCAATAAAGATTTCAAACAAGCAAAAACATCCACAGTACGAAGTAAATGCAATCCGAATTCCAATTACATGTATTCTCTCACAGTTATCGAACCGAAATGTAAACATATAGCTGAAAATCGAAAAACAACATAATACAGTTTGTTAGCCGTGTGTATATGTGTCTCGTAGGGTTTTCACCGTTCTCCCAAATGTAAAGTTTTTGCCTTCACCCCCACTCCCAGCTGATGTAACAATTCTTATAGTCTGTAGTCTTCATATGCTAATACATTTATATATGTAGTATATATAAATATAATGATACTTTAAACAAATAGCTATATATTCCGATTCACGCACACACCCGTCACGTACACAGAGAAAAACCACAACCGAAACACACACACACGTCACATTTGCGACATATCGCAGATGCAAAGCAATTTACTTTCGATTTTGAGGCTCCCCGCCTGAGCAAACCAATTTGAAATCTTTATTTTCATGTCTGTAATGGTTTCGGATGTTGCATTCAATTAAAACCAAACAACGCTGTTTAGCTACACTGCAAAAAAAGGAACAACCAGAAAAACAGCCACTCACACACAACACAAATCAAAACTTGAGCGCAAGTGCAGATAGAGAGATAGCGAGAGAAGTGCAGATGAAAAGATCAACAAAAATATATACATACATTTAAATGTACAAAGCCTACCTTTGTGTCGTGTTACTTTCTGGTTTCTTCAGGTTTACTTATTTATTAAATCGTTTTGGGTGGCAAATACTGTACTTCCTAATTTATCCTAATGATCCAAGCTTCTTATCAACATTGTTACACTGCTGAACATATAGAAAGCGATGAAGTCCTCCCTGGACTTTTGTCAAATTTCTTAAGAAGTTTGTTTTATTTGTTTTATTAAAAGCGATATAGTGCATATATATTTTGGAAAAAAGGTGTATGATAAAAATAAAGCAAAGTGCTATAACATCATATAATAAGTGTTTCATCCTTTGTACGTGGTGTTAATCCGCATCACATATACTTTATTAAGGGCTCAACTTTTCAAAGGACTTCGAGATAGTTGGATGATTTTTTTAGAATATTGTGGTTTGATAATGCACATATTCCACCTTTATATTATAGAATGGAGAAATAGTTTTCTTAAAGGAGTCACGCTCGAATACAAATTTTATAAATGTTTCTCAAAATATGCTTTTAAGTTTTAAAGCACTCTTGCATGGTCCTTGGAAAATAATTTGGGTCTTTCAATATTTACTATTTTTTTATAGTGGCAGGTAATCAGATTTCTGTCACTGGACCATTTACCAAATCTCCAGCATCAAGAGGAACATGAAAAAAAGATGTAACGTTTCTACAAATTTAAAAAGAAAAAGTTTAGTTTTTGGCAAACTCGGTGGGTTGGGTAAACTGGTTTGTGTTTATTTTGACTGAAATTAATATTATAACGATAGTTTATTGTTATAACCTTGCAGAGGTTTATCATCAGTAAGAAGTTTGTAAGGCAGACAACTAGAAATTTTCGACCCGATAAAATATATACATTCTTGATCAACATACCCAGGAGAGTCGATCTAGCCATGTCCGTCTGTCCGTGTTTGTGCAAACTAGTCTCTCAGTTTGAAAGCTATTTGGATGAAACTTTACTAAAAGTATTCTTTCTATTGCAGGTATATATAAGACTGAGCGGCCCGAATCTATAAACTAGTGGAAAAAAGAAAAAATTATACCTTCGTTGTTTCTAGCTTCATTATTTTTAAACATAAACGCAAAACATTGAATTTTTGTAAAGGCTGCAAGGATTTCTAATTTGTGTCTAAAACCACGTATATTCTAAATAAGTTTATAAGCTCTTACTTTAGCTTTCAATAAAAACTAATTTTAAAATGTTATGGTTTTGTGCTTGGTCTAAAAATCAATTATAAAAGGACAATAAATGTCCTTTGTTATTTAATGTAACTGACAATTCTTTCTACATTTCCTTCTGCGAGATACACGGAGGTCAATTTCGGCCCATTCTCCATTACTAAGGTCATAATTAAAAGAAAACTCTTTACTTTATATGTAATTGTTAGTTATTATGCACATGTTTCATTTATTATTGCATTTCATGTTGCTGTGTAGCATTATTATCGAATTATCAGTATGCTTACTATTATTGTATTCTATTACCAAAAATAATTTCTTAAAACTTGTTTACTCGTTTAATTTATTTATAGGTGTATTATCAATTATTTTAAGTTTGCATTTTGCAACTGCTCGGGATAGAGTGTTTGCTATGTAATTAGATTTATACTTGCCAGCGGTAACTCGGTAACTTGCTCAATAATTCACTTTTTGCTCAAACTACATTTACGTGAAACTCAAAACTCCAGCGGGAAGAACTACATTAGAATGTTTTAAATATATGATCGTATCCGTGGGATTGGGTGGAGAAGGTGTACATAGAACGAAACCGGTATTTAAACATACTGTTGTTTATTTTGCTGTCTAGATTTTCGTTTGTTGCTATTGGCATTAGTAACTAATTTGTGTGATAAATTTTCGATTCGTTTTTGCTTATTTGCGATTGTGTTTTGTGTGGTTTTAGGTTTTACTATGTATAAACCCCTTGTTTCATAATAAATTGATACAAAACATATACGTATAATTAACGTGCCTAAAAGTTATAACATTTCTCAATTGGCTAAATAATAAATGTATGGGTATTTTTTTTGCTGCCCAATGAAGTAAACAATATATATATATAAAGAATTGCCAAATGGGTCCTTAATGGGATTCTGGTTTACAAACACAACGTTTAAACGGTTAATATTAAGATCGAACAAAGCCAATGGAAGGACATGGGAGGATTAGTATAGCGTTTAAACCTAACCCGAGGCGCGGGTGACACTTTAAGCAAAACTTTTTTTTACATACAATACATCGTTTGTTCGCGTTATAATATTCTTCTTTTTGTTTGGAATCACAAATGTTAGCTAGTATTTAAATACACATGTAGGTAAGACATTCAAAAAGGAAAATTGGGGTTTTTGTTTAGCGTGGAGAATGCTCTTGGTGGTGATGGTGTTAGAGAGACGACGGCTGTGGTGGTGATAAAATGGGTGGCAAAGTGCGGCAACCTTCAAGCTGCTTCTGCTTCTGCTCCGAATCTGTTTCTAATTCCTGCTCCAGCTCGTACTTCACTCCAAATTTCGCACCTCAAATCGCTTGTACGTGTAGTTGATAAAGACCCAGTCCTTGGCAATCTCACCGCCCTGCGGTATGGGCGCCGATGCTGCAATGGGAAATCATTATATTTCCGTCTCGTCGTTCGGTTAGAAGTATACTTACGTATCTCCAGCGACACATCGGGAAACTCGTCGAAATTGGACGTATCGTCTATTGAGCGCACCTCAACGGGTATGGCAGCGGGACGTTCCCGTATGTGCTCCCAATCCACTCCCCGGAAGAACGGCACTGACTTTAGATCCTCGAGACCACGCTGGGAGCCCAAACGGCGATCGGCCTCGCAGCAAAAGTTGATGATCGTCTCCTTGGCCTCTTCCGAGATCGGGATCTCCGGGGGAAATATCAGCGTCTCGCGCCAATTCATCACCTTGCGGTAGGTGTCCTGGGGATTGTCCGAGCAGAATGGGGGATAGCCCATCAGCATTTCGTACATGATGACTCCCAAGGACCACCAGTCGCAGGCGGGTCCGTAGCCAGTCTGCAGGAATACTTCGGGTGCAATATAGTCCGGCGTTCCCACCGTGCTGTAGGCCAGGGCTCGTCGGTTTTGTTTCCACGACTCGGCACGTCGCTTCGAGTCCATCGGACTGCAGGACCCAAAACAAGTTTAATTAAAAATTGAAAGTGCAGAATGCCTTTCTTATCTTACCTAGCACAAGTGCCAATAAAATCGGATGGTTTCGCCTGCGACAAATCTCGATAAAAGTCTGTTCGATGCGACTTCTTTAGGCCAGTGCAGAGTCCGAAGTCAGAGAGCTAAAAAATTCGAGGAATAAACCCTTAATAATCCTATCTAACGTGATCTGGGCAAATGACTGCTCACCTTGAGATGTCCTCGTGCATCCAGCAGCAAGTTATCTGGTTTAATATCCCTGTGTATGAAACCGAGTTTGTGAATCGAATCGATCGCCAATGCCGTCTCACTGATATAAAACTGTGTGCCTTCCTCGGATAACGTATCCTTTTTCATTAAAAGCGTCATCATATCACCTCCAGGCAAAAATTCCATAATCAAATATAAATTGACCTGATCCTGTAATATCAGAAAGAAAATATTTTGTATAGGGTTTTTTACTTAAAATAAATAGTATACAAATAAGTTATTCAACGATAGGACCACCAAAAACGAAAACCAAACTAAAAGGCTCCACATACGTACAAAAATCTAAAGAAAATATTCGAATATTTTGTATTTGCCATTGATAAATGTTACATAAAATATATTTAGATGAACAATTTTCTTTAAAGAAAACGACAGACAAATATATACTGCTTCTGACAAGGTAAACCCGTTATTTTGTAGCACATTAGAAGTAACTATTTGAATCTTTTAGCTATATTTCGTTTCGATGCAAACGAAATCAAAATACATATATATTATATATCCAAAGCAGAGAAATTAAAAAAAATAATATGGCAGACATAGAGTCATGTTTACAGATATCTGTTGCTTTGCGCTGATGACTAAGAGTATATATGAACTTTTTTCGATCGGAGCTATCTCCTGTTAAAAATACTACCGTACGAAAAATATATAATTCCCTTATTGTTCCTCATAACCAGTCATTACTTTTATCTTAAAATGGCCCTATTATTGAACTCCGATTTATGTTTTCTAAACTTAACATGTACATAGGTAAATAAACATCCACTGTAGCCAGGTACGCCTGTGGCAAGAACTTTCACCGAGAAGTGGAGAAATGAGAACCGAGAAAAACAACAACAATGACGGACCAGGGAGGGAGAGCGAGGAAGAGAGAAAGAGAGACGTGACCATATGATTGGCAAGACGCTTTTGCCATTTACACTTGTATTGGTTTATTGATTTTTTTGTCCGTGCTTTAACACAATTCTTTTGTTATGCGCGCTGCCCTCCGCCCCTTTGTCCCACCCACCGTTGTTGTTGTTGTTGCAGCTGACATTCGTCACTCACCTGGAAACTGTAGTACATCTTGACCACCCACTGGTGATCCGCTTCGACGAGAACATCGCGCTCGGCGCGAACATGGGCAACTTGCTCCTTTTCGATCATGTCGGCCTTGCGCAGCACCTTCATGGCGTACACATGTCCCGTGTCCTTTTTCTGGACAAGTCGCACCTCGCCAAAAGCGCCGCGGCCAATAACTTTTAGCGCCTCGAAATCCTCCACGCCGAGGCGCAATCGCTTGAGCCGGAGGTACTCCGTCTCCTTTTGGGCATGCTGCAAGCGCTTCTCCTTGCGCTGCGCCTCCGACAGGCTCTCGTCCTTTAGCTGCGTCTCCAGCTTCGCCAGGCGCTGCTTCCGCTCCCCATACTGCGTCACCAGGTTGCTGTAGTAGTTCTCCAACGTCACCTTGGCCTTGGTGGCCTTGTCCAGTGTGTGGTCGCTGAATCTGATCGAAGCACCGTCCGCGTCCTGCGTTCTGCTGCTCATCATCTAAGCTGGTGTTTTTGATCCTTGTCTCCGCGGTCGAGTAATTTGTGTGCTTTGCTGGGTCGGTATTTTGCGGTGTGTGTGGTGAGGAGTTATGCACTTGCCAAAGCACACACACTGCTTTTTTCGACCGTTTCTTGCCTTTTTCCTCGATAATTTGTTGAAATTCCTCCCTCTGCCGCTTCTTCTTCAAGTGCCATTCGCATTTCGCACCCCCAACAAAGCAAAGTTGGCTGCGCTTCGGTGAAGTCTATCGATGGGCTATCGATACATCTAGAACTTTTGGGCTTTTTGGCAGAGCTGAAAAGTCAACTTTTTTTACTGTCTAGCTTTTTGTCTTCTGTTTAACTGAAAAAATTATGTCCTTTTAAAACTTGATTTTGAAAATTTTTTGTATTATGTTGAAGTTATTTTTCAAACCGTTTTAATTTAATTTTTTAGAAAGATCAACACCGGTTTTACTTCTATCATCCTTTAGCATTTTTTTCCCAAAAAAAAATGTTTTCTCGCCAAAAGCTGGCAACACTGTCAGCTAACCAATTAGTAAATAAATAGAACCAACCGACTAGGCGGTGCATATTCCATGATAGGTGTAACCCAATCGACAGACCTTATTTATTTGGTCATTTGTTGCATGTGACAGTTCGAGACAATGACTAAAATCAGCTAATAATGGCCCGCATTACCAGTATCCTGGATTTGGATCCCAGTTGTTTATTGTTCATTATAAAGCTCCTCAGCTTGGAGGACCAGTTGCACTTGGCCCGCTGCTGTCGCCTTTTTCGTGACGCCTTTCTCCACCTGCACCGCCACCATTTCCAGGAAGTGGTCGACAAGGACACAAGCTTAAGGACTCTGGAGGACTGGCACACCTTTCTCTGGCTTTGTGGGAGTCGCATCCGTATATTGGAGTCCCATTTTGATGACGACCATCCTCTGCAACTGCTCCCGCTAATCAGCAGGCATTGCTATCGACTGGAGGGGATCTCCATACACAATGCCACGGTGGCCCGGGCGCAGCCTTATCTACTCAGAATGTGTTCTCTGAGGAAGGTGCACGTACGCAACTACAAGAGCACCAGCAAGGACCTAGTCGGGGCAATAAGGGTAAACCTTCCGCTCGTCACCAGCCTGAGCCTTGAAAGTTTCGATCGCAGAGAGTGTAAGGAGACTTATTCATTTCCAATTATCATTGTGCCATTCATCCCGTTATATTCCTTGACAGTACAAGAAGTGCGGCACTTCAGCGAGCTGCTGGAACTAGGCTTGTACGACGAGGTCACCGTCTCGGAGTTCGCCACCATTGTGAAGCCCATGCGGCAGTTGCGTTGCCTTCAGCTGCGCAACGCCAAACGCTTTCTTAGCACCAGCAATCTCAGAATGCTGGCCACCAACTGCCGAAAACTGGAAAAGCTGACGTTCCACGACTGCGATGCTGATCTGTTGGTCTTGCCACAGTTTGCGAACCTCAAGTACCTGCAAATATACTGCCCGGAGGAGATGAAGACGCGCTTTTTCAAGGCACTGACCAAAAGCCACTGCTCCACTCAGCTGGAATACCTCATCCTGCACCGCAAGCGCTGGATTGACGAAGAGCAGGCGCAGTACATCAGTGTTTTGAAGTCGCTTCGGTGGCTTGTATGCAAACCGCGGGACGATCTTTGCGTTCGGCATTTGTCGGAGCTGAAACAGTTAGAGTGCCTTTCCGTGCAGGCCGCCCGGGAAATTGGGGAAACGCAGCTTTCCCTGCTTGTGGCCAACAACGAGCGGTTGCGGTATCTGAACCTCTGCTATTGCCTGGGCATAACAGACGCCTTCGTACTGGAGACTCTAGGCAGTTTGTCCAAACGTTCAGTTCAGCAACCTTTAGAGATATATGCCGCGGCCACTGACATCAGGCATGACATCATGGAGCGGGTGAGTAATCGACTGATATGGTACGCGAAGTCCTTTATTTAATGTGACATTTTATGCTTCGTTTTTCAGCTGCCGCATGAATTTCCATTGAAAATGCTCGGCTTGAACTTTGAATGCAGCGACGGAATGACCAGCCGCGAGCACTTCTATGCCGACGAACCGGAATTCGATCGCCAAGCTGTGTGAGGCCTTTTTCGTCCAACAACGAATGTTTCTTCAATCATTACCAAAAACCCAAACTAAATTAATACTTCTTTATATGCAGCTTTATTCGTGATCTTATCACTTTGAGTGATATTATTTTGTTATTGCACAACGATGTATTCAACTTTTTCACTACATAATTAAAAATGACCTTACCCTTATTAAGCTATGTATTTTTCGTGTGTAAATAGGTGTAGGTAATATATTTCAAAGTTATTTATAAGAAACTTCTTTTCGGTTTTAATCCCGTTTTGTCGAACTAAATACCTTTTTAATGTATAGTTTAAACAATCAAAAGCAATATCCCTTTTTCTTTGTTTTCTTTATTAAACTTCGATTAACCCGGTCAGTTCACTCGCGGGCTGTTATCAAACCATCGATAACTCATCGCATATCGCATTATTTTCGCCCCATCACTAATATTTATAGTCTTGTTTTGTGGCGAACAGAGGGAAAAGAAAATTACCTGAAAAAACTCGTGTGGAAAACGCAACTAGAGGGCCGCCAAGATGCTGTCCATGCTGCAGGAGAAGCGTCCGCTAAAGCGCACCCGCCTGGGTCCGCCGGACATCTATCCGCAGGACGCGAAGCAGCGCGAGGACGAGCTGACGCCCACGAATGTGAAGCACGGCTTCACAACGACGCCACCGCTGTCTGATGAATTTGGGACAGCCCACAACTCGAATGTGAATGCCAGCAAGGTAAGCGCCTTCTTCAGCGGCGTGCTGGCCAAGAAGGAGGAGCTGATGACCCTGCCGGACACGGGGCGCAAGAAGCAGCAGATCAACTGCAAGGACAACTTCTGGCCCGTCTCGCCGCGGCGCAAGTGCACGGTGGACGCCTGGTTCAAGGACCTTGCTGGGAATAAGCCCCTGCTCAGCCTAGCAAAACGGGCGCCCTCGTTCAACAAGAAGGAGGAGATCTTTATCACTCTGTGCGAGAATCAGGTGAACATGCAGCGCGCCACCTGGTTTATCAAGCTGAGCGCCGCCTACACCCTCAGCTTCACCGAGTCCAAGAACAAGAAGCGCAGTATCTACGACCCAGCCGCCGAGTGGACCGGCAACATGATAAAGTTCATGAAAGAGTTGCTGCCCAAGCTGCAGGAGTACTATCAGCAGAGTGAGTCTTTTAGGTGGCTCCTATTTAAGATCCTTTTTGAATTCTTTTACTCATTACAGGTCACGAAAAGTCTCCTGCAAATGGTAGCACTTCAGGGAGTTTGACTGCCTCCGGAAATGGTACTGGTAGCAATGGGACCGCCGGCACCAACTCCATTAATTCTGTCGCTGGTAGCAGTGCTCCATCTAACGTAATCCCCGTTCCCAGCATGGCAAGTCCCCTGCCTCCGATCCACAGTCCCGCAAATGGACAGCAGGGAGCACCAGGCGTCGGAGGAGTGGGATCTGGCAGTGTACTGCCGACAGCGGGAAGTCTGGGAGGAGTCGTCGGCGGGCCCGGGTCTTCAGTTGTTGGAGGCGTCGCAGGTGCGGGAGCTGCTGTACCGCCAGGCTCTACCATTTCCGGAATCGGGAGCCAGTTCGAAGACAGCCGTAATGCACTTAAGTACTGGAAGTACTGCCACCAGCTAAGCAAGTACATGTACGAGGAATCGCTTTTAGACCGGCAGGAGTTTCTGAACTGGATACTCGACTTGCTGGATAAGATGCGTACCCAGACAAGCTTTGATGAACCGCTGAAAAAGCTGGTGCTCAGCTTTGCCCTTCAGTACATGCACGACTTTGTCCAATCGGAACGTCTATGTCGGAAGATGGCCTACATAGTGTCAAAGAAACTGGCACATCTACTTAATACTGTGGTGGAACAACAGGCGATTAAGGAGCTGGACGAGCAGAAGTTGCATCAGGATCCCTATGAACTCGCATTGCAGGAGCAGATGAGTTGTCCCCATCACCGTGACATCGTGCTGTATTTGAGCACGATCCTGCAGATCATAACAATCGAGTGCCCCACAGCATTGGTCTGGAGCGGAATAGCGGCTCATCGAGCACCTTCCTCGCTGCTGGGCAGTCCACTGGATCATCTGCCGCTGGCGCCCTCAGTACTGCCGATGCCCACACGTTGTCCGCGCACCAACCAGGAAATCAGGCGTCAATTGCGATCAGCCGAGTCGGACATTGTGCTGCGCACGCAGCACGCAGAGCAGCGCTGGTTCGCCGCCAAGTGGCTAAGTGCCGGTAAGAACCACTACACCAGTGTACTGGCCACACTGGATCACCTGGACACGCATTGCTTCGACCGCATGGAGCACAACAACAGCATAGATACTCTCTACGCCCATATATTTCCCAGCCCAAGCGCCAGTCGTCGGCGGGAGGATGATCAGCTGGAGCCGCGTCCAGCCTACGAGCCGAAGCAGGACAAGGACACGGTGCGCATCCTATGCGAGTGGGCCGTGTCCGGGCAGCGCTGGGGTGAGCACCGGGCCATGGTGGTAGCAATTCTACTCGACAAGCGCCAGATCGACGTGACCAGCACGCCGGCGGATCAACAGTCCAGTGATAAGGACGACAAGGACTCGCTAGCCTCTGGCGCCGGCTTGATCGATGGCCTGCCTGTATTCCAGCACGTGTTGATGCACTTCCTCGACCACGACGCTCCCGTTTTAGATGAACATTCGAGCAGCAGCCAGCAACGCACTGAGTTCACCAATCTCGTCCAGCTGTTTAGCGCATTGATCCGTCACGACGTCTTCTCGCACAACGCCTACATGCACACACTTATTTCGCGAGGAGATCTTTTGCTGGAGTCCGTTCTGGTGATCAAATCGGGGACGACGGCCACGAAGACATCGCCCCCACCTCCGGCGCCGCCACCAACTACATCGCACGGATTCGACGATGATGGTTTTGGAGGGGGACTCGACTTCAAGCACAATGAGTTCGACGACTCCAATGTGGACGACGATCTGGACAAGCTGGTGCAGAATATCAAGGAGAAGGGCCAGCAGCACGAGGCGCCCGATAGTCCCAAGATCGGTCCTCCAGGCGACGGCGAAACCGGAACTGGTGGCAGTATATCGCGGCACTATGTGTACACCAAACACTTTCCCATCCCCCAGGACGATCC